CGCAATACACAATGACAGAAAGACCTTATCGTCGAGAAAACCAGGATCTGGCGATCATTGTGATACCTTGATTTCATGCATGAACTCGTATTTCACACGCTCGTGATCGATCACTCGCTCGATTGCAGAGAAAAAAAACGCAGCGCTTTCACCTCCTACATGCAAAATGCAGAAGTGCACAATTTTTCTCCTGTGAGAAGCGCATGGAGACGTTCGCGTGATCATCTGTGAATCGGAATGAAAAGTTAATTTTATTTTCCAATGGCGTCAACTGCTTTTCAATAGTTATAAATGGCTCCCAAAAAGCTTTGATAATCGACTAGTTTGCTTGTTTTTTTGCATGAAAAACATTTCAAAATGCTGAAACTTTTTCACAGATATATCGATAAATTGTATAAGTTCGACTGGTCACCGTTACAAGCGTGGAATCGCTCGAATCCGAGAATTACGAAAGTATATGCAAAAGCGTTGAGAATTACCAAGGACGGCTAATTTTTCCGCTCGAAAGAAAACTTATGAACAGATCACGCTTACATGGTAACATATTTACAATTTTTTCGAATTAATATCGACGATCAACACGGATACGAGGCTTTACATATCAATCTTAAATTTTCAGAGTCAACTTGTATACTTCCGTTCTATTCTTATGGGATAAATTTTGCGCTACAGTTTACTATAATTTTACTTTATAAAAGTTGCGTTTGAGTCAAAAAACTATATTCGCAATCGGGTTTCGCGTACGAGAGAAAATTATATATAAAACAGTTCAACTCGTGGTGACCACAACCCAGCTGACGCAGCCGTAGTTTTCTCCGCTCTTGTATAGAATCGATTCTCAAATTGAACCAAGATAACTCCAGATAATTTCAGTTTGAACGAATTTGAGTTAATCTAATAAAAATTGAGTTTTCTCAAAAATTCGTACGTTGGTCTAATATTTAAACGCAGTACAATAATTGTAAGATAATTGAAATACCTACAACTCGTGAGACATACGTGTGCGACAACTCTTCAAGCAGAATAATTAAAATAGTTGATTCTCTTCTCTCTCGTCAGGATCTATATATATGAGTAAGAGAAGCAATTTAAGATAGTTTTCATTTGCACGGGATAAATGAGCGATATTGGACTGACCCTAAAGAGAAGTGAATACGATTGTTACGTTGGAAGGAAAAAGGGAAAAGAACTTTTTTTTATGATCTACTTGATGTTTGCCTGTAGAAAATTTGTTAATTTGACCTTCTGCGAACTTGATTAACCGAATCGACCTAAGTGGCGCAATTTTTTTTACTTGAACATGTAATATTGCATATTCAAAGTAGAAAAAGGCGAATCGCTTTGATTACGTGGGTCACTTTAGTTACTACTCAATTATGCAAGTACAGTGTCGACCGTTTCGCGTTAATGTTGATTTTCATTCATTTAGATAGGTTCAAATTTTTATCTCACGAATAAACGTTAATCAGTTGTAAATGTGTTTGTATTTTGTTAAAGATCAATACAGGTAGAAATAATTCATAAAAATTCTATTGCTTGATTTTAATTTCGGAAATGAGCATCTTCAGTTTATCCAACATATAATGAGGCCTTACACTATTGCCGTTGACTTCAAAATCTTCAAATATGCAGATGAAGACGGTATCGACAGCCACTTGCAGCAAACCAAACATCCAATACACCGTCCGCAAAATGATAAAACAAGCGAGCAGTTGAGCCCATGAGCTCTGAGATTCTTCCATTGACATGATCAACAATACGGCCTTATACAAGATACAGGAACCGCTTCCGACCGAGATCCAGATATAAAATCCCACATCCTTGACCTTCTAAGGGACAGATCAAATACGAGAAATTATTGCTGTTGAATTATATTGCACCACAAATGGGAAGGTGTTACCAACTTCGTAAATTTTGTTGACTCGCTCATTTCTATGCAACAGATTACTGGCGCACTTGGCGGACTCTAGGTAGGTCGTACCGTGGAGCATCATATAAGCTTGAGTCAATCCGTGGCTAGCTGGCAAAATGCATGAACAAATTGTTGAAGTGCCCACGTAGTATCTGCAATGAGTCGATTTTATTTTACTTATTAAATAATCACGCAAAATATCATGGCAAAATAGCATGTGTGAATATGTGCCTCAAAGTAATCCCGATAAACCGCATAGTCGTGAATTTTGGTACTTCTTGCTTGTTCCTCGTCCAGTACCAAGTGGCGTAACTCCCAGAAGCGATAAGCTTCAAGAAGGCGGATAGGAAGCAGTTGAACCAGATCAAACACAAGATTTCGATGATATAATTGATTATGAGAAACGATTCTGGTAGTCCATCGATAGATTGAAGTGACCACTGGACGGCAATGCACACACCTGCCATTGCGAATAGGATTATGTAGACCAGCAGCGAGCAAATAAAAAGTGACGGGAAAAACACCACAGCTCTAAAAAAGAGCATTATTACAGTCTATACTGGTTTTACAAGTAGGCGATGAAAAAAGTCATAAAGAGGCTGCTTACTTGGTCAATTCTTGTATGATTTCACAAGCTACCTGCAAAGATTTAGCTTCTTCTGTCCCCGCCACAGGCAGTAATATTATAGTCCACACAAGCAGTATAGATATTATGATGTTCCTGGCCAACATTAAGGGTTTGTCATACTGGTTCCACGGCCACGCCTTCACCAACAAATAGCTGAACCAAGACATGATCAAAACAATCGTCACCAGAATTAAAAAAAGCGACCAGTAAAACATAGCCTCGGTTGTAATTCTCAATAAGACAAGATAAAATAACGATAACAAAACAGCAATTAGCAGAATCCCTATTATGATCCATCTGAAATTTTCATAAAAATAATTAAGCTGCCTCATTTCGTAAATTTTCATACAAATGAATTATTACTTCACATCGCATAACATTTTTACAGAGCTGGTCAAATAAATGCTAAGATCAGAGTCACTTATAGAAGCAAAGGATTTCTTTTGGTCTCCGTCTACGAAAGCTGCATGGAAAAATTTTGCAATCAACATAATTATAAAATAGTAAAGGGAATATAAAAAATGCAGATTTATTTACCATAACAGGTTACACCAACCCAGTAGATAAAAAGAAGAATGAAAATAACCAGACCGGGTAAGCTGGTCATTGATCGTTTCACGTTTAAAGGGCCTGTCCATGATGGATCGTAGGTTAGTTTCGAGCCTATAAAAATCGTTGAATAGTTGACGGATTACGACTTTCATAATTTCAGCATATATTTTTTCACAAAACTCACTGGAATCTCGATTGATGAACGATCTTCTTCCACACGGGTTTTTCGGAAAAGTATAAAAAGACGGAAAATGTATTGGCATAAACATATTTTCAAGATCGCTAAGATGAACACATTTGAAAATTTATTTAAACTCTTAACCTGTATCAATTTTTGATTTTTACGTGACTCACTGCATGCCAATTAAAAAAACAAACGAAAATTATTTTAATATAATTTATAGATAAATTATCAAATATTTGCATTTCGAATTGGTCGAAACTAGTGATAATTGATGTTTTAAAACACATGTGGACGATGTTGTTTTGTTCTTTTCCACGCATTCCCACAGATTTTTCATGTCTAGATATCAAATATTGATTTTCAATCGACAAATTCCCATTGTGAATTTGTTCAAATTTTAACAATTAGACCGGCAGTTAGTAACCGATAAAAGATGCTGATTTTTAAACTTATGCCCTTGAAAATTGAATACCTGAAAGATACATCAATAATTAGCTCAAAAAACGGAATATTATGCCGTATTAGCGTAGCGATATTTTAAAGTACATGTCGATTTGTAACAAATTTTGGCCTTGTCATAATTATGCCTTGACATTCAACATATTTACATTTTTTTCAGATGTCTTCAGAATTTCGCATTAATCTTTGTTATGCTCTAGAATGAGCTAGGAAGCTTCAATCGAACTTTTGAAATGGTCAAAATTTATTAAAATTTGACAAGGAATTCAAAAAAAATTTTTTCAAATTTTTTTATTGGAACCATCGGGTTCCAGGAACCTTTTTTGTTAAAAATAACGTTTTTCGGCTCCAGACGCTATCGCCTTCAATTAAAAAATCTGAAAAAATTTGAGATTATGTATTTTGATGAACAAAATGAGAAAAAATTTTTTCCAGATTTTTTGAGGTTCCGTAGCGCCTTAAAAAAATTATTTTCGAGAAAAAAATCGGTTTTTCAGCTCTAGGCTGAATGGACATGAATGAAAAATTCTGAAAAAATTCAAGGAATCGTTTTTTGATGTCAGAATTCAGAAAAAAATACTCCGGTCTGGTATATCGAACCATTTCACCGAAAATAAAATAATTTAAATTTTCAATGATTTTTTCTGAAGGCCTGAAGCACTCGAAAAATCTGAAAAAATTCAAGATTGTTTGGATTGTTGAAAAGTACCTTCATGAATTTTTTCAGATTTTTTAATAGCTTCAGGCCTTCAGAAAAAATATAGATAGAAAATGGACGTCTATAGGGGAGGAGGAGGGTAGGAGGGGGGAGGGGGTCCAAAATTTTGGTTTTGGCACTTTTTTATCATGTACTATAACATACCAAAATTTCAGGAAAATCCGTGAACCTCGCCCGCAGGTTTATTTAAAAAATTCTGAATCTGACCCATATCTATATACAGTTACCGTGAGCATTTTTAAAGCTGTATATAGGCTGTGCGGCGTGATAGGTCGTTGACTCGCGAAAAACGAATAGAAAATTGATCAAATTTTCATCGCGTCAGCTCGTCTCGAGTAGTTATTTTTTGGCACGTTACATTATTAAATAACGATCGCGGGATGGATTGACTTAATCCAATGGCAGAAGATGAGATCTTAAATGTAAGCGTTACTGAAATCAATCAAAATCAATGAGCTTTAAATCGATTTTATTAACACGATCTGCCCCGTTGATTCCAAGCATTCATAGACGTGAAAAACTAAGAGTGTATCTTTTTTATTTCCAGGAGAATCAGCCAAGATCGGGGCAGCAATGACATTCGGCAACGGTCCGTCGATCAGCGACTCCAGCAGTAGCAGCAGTGTGAACCACCACAAGCACTTGCACACGGCTGGGAGCGTTGGCGCAGGTTACGACCTGGCCTACGATCTTGGCGGCGGCAGTAGCGTGAGCAGCAGCCTAGGACTCTTCGAGGGCCACCAGCACGATGGCCAGGGCATAGCCGCCCTCCTCGTGCTCATTGTCGTGCTCTGCCTGCTGGCTTACTGCTGTTGGGGCGTGCCCATCTTTCGCAGCCTGCGCCGCTGGAACTGCGGCTCCTCGTCGTCTTCTTCGTCGAGTTGCTGCTGCACCGGTGGCGGCGAATCGACGACGACCCCCTGCTCGGCGGAGGATCGCTGCGCTCGGAACGGCCCTCTCGGTTCTTGGGTGCTGGGGACCGCCACCGGTGTCAGTGCTGTCAATGCCAACGGTATCAATAACAATTCCACTGCCAACCAGAGCAGGACTGCCAGCTCAATTTTCGCTGCTCAGCAGCAATCGCATCGTCATTATAATCGTCACGCTGCCAGACAGGCCGGCGCAGCGGGTCTGCAGCAATCGAGGATCGGCGATTATAACGGACCATTGTCGCACTTGCATCGCAATCAGCAGCAAATGCACAGCATGGCCACGCCGACCATCATTTTGCTGCCCCACGGCAGGATGCTCGTCGTCGACGGCTCGATATTCACCCAATTGCAGAGCGACACTAGCGGTGAGTGAAAATTGTCTTGTATGTCTAACGTCGTCTTATATTCTAACTTTCTGCTTATTAAAAACTTCACCCAGATTTTTTCTGTTCATTTTTTATAATGCGCTGAAAAGACGATGTTGTGACTTTAACAGATATTTTAACCCATTAAGGGGAGGCTCTCATGAGACCTTGATCAAAAAATCTATTTTCTTTTTGCTTACTTACTTAGCAAATGTCCCGTAGAATACACCCCCGAAACCCTTATCACCAAAATCGATGTGGTTAAAAAGTTATAAGCAAAAAAATGGAGCTGTCTTTTTACGAGCGAACGATGTATCTATGTATCTAAATTCGCTTACGAAAACTTTAAAGGGACCTCCCTCCAAATTAAAAAGAAAAAATGTTTTTTCAAAGATTTATTTGTATAAAACGACGTATCTTAATGAAACTTTATAAACATACTTTATTGACCTTATACTACATGAAAAAATGTTTTTGTAATTTTTTGCCACCCAGTGTCGTCTGTTAAAATTATTTGAAAAAAAACGAAAAAATCGCGGTGGGAACGATTAAGAAAAAACCATTAATTTTATCACCCTGAAATTTTAATACAATAATCTGTCCATGTTACTGCTCAGAATGAATTAGAATGAACGTGAATTTTCACATGAAAATCTTTTGAATCCTGGCGTCTTCGGTACAAATAAAGTGTCGATGGGTCCTTCACTTAAAGTTATGACGATTCCAATTAATACAAAAAATGGCGACTAGAAAATGAAAAAATATAAAGAAATTTTTGGAATTTTAACTCAAAAACGATGGATTCTTAAAATTTATCAAAAAACTTATTCATCAGTATAATTTTTTCCTCAAATCCATAGTTCCATAGTTCCATAGGAATTCTGCAAAAATAATTTAGCTTGAGGTAAAGTTTTGAAGCTTTTCATTCTTAAGTTGAGCTTGATACTAAAAGGAAAATTCCACGATGCTAAAGACTCAAAGATATTGACTTTGGCGAGCCACAATTCCAATCGCGTGGCTTCTATTTTTGTGAGCACTGCGTGTGATAAATGGCACTAATTTTTTGCAAGTGCAGCTTGTATCTTTTGTATTTTTATAATTAAAAAAATTGTCGTTGCAGGTCTCGATCTGATGGAACTGGGCGAGAACGTGATGCGCGCCCAACGCGGAGGCTCGAATCCGCAGAGACCTCACTCGAGCTCCCCTGCGACCCATCAGCATGTCTCGGTCCGATCGCAGCTGCGCACCAGCCCGGAGACTCCCAGCAAGGATAGCATGGGCTCCATCGGCTGCTTTCCACCGCCCACCTACGAGAGCATCTACGGCAAAGAGGAGGGTGCCGACATGCCTCCATCCTATTCCGAAATTCTTCTTCATAGGTTTGTCTCGAATACTCATTGCGACAAAATCGCTTGTAATTATAATATCACTGCGTGTACAGACTAGCAAACCTGCCGGAATGCGAGATGGACGCGCACCAGCAGCAGCCACCAACGAGTGGCAGCTCAAGCAATGATCGTCGCGACGCTCCTGCGGCCGATGATGAAAGATCGAAAGATTTGGAACTCGGCAACGGATCGAGCTCCTTCAACTGTCCTCGGATATTCGCTAATCCGTTCGATTGCGCCGAGCTGCCTTTTAACGACGACGACGACGACGAAGTGACTGATCGGCATCGATTGCGGCAGACGCGCAATCCGTCTCTTCGAACGAATCCGCTCGACGACGCTACCTTTTACTCGCTGGACGCGATGAACGACGAGTCCAGTACCGTCGCTTCGTCGTTCCGTCACACTAGAAGAGCTCGGCCGATTTCGCTACAACAGGGCAACAGCGAGTCCGACAACGAGGCGAGATACCAGCGCAGACGAGAGCACAGATCCAGACGATCGCAGAGACCGAGCTCGCAAGATCGTCACAGCGTTTCCGGTAAGACGTACGATTTTGCGTTTTGACTACTTCCTAGGTATAAAGACTTTTTTTTATCTTTATTTGACGTTACTCTGCAGAGTATCCGACGAGCAGTCACGGCTACAGCAGCTATCAACGCCGACGCGAGCACAACGAGACCATGAATTGTCGGAACGTCGTCAGCAGCCGTCGTCTGAGCGCCGATCCCATTACCGATTTGCATCCGGCTACGTATGAAGAAGCACTCCAGACCCATCGAGCGACGGACGCTCATCCAGGACTCGATTTCCTGCCACAGATGATTTATTCGTCGCCTTTTCATAGGACCAGCAACGACGGCAGCCAAATCAGTCGGTTATCCGTGAACATGACCAACTGGAATCTCGACGACGGCGATGACGATCGAGTCGGCGTCGCGAACGCGATAATCGATATCGATGACGACAACGACGACGTCGACGAAGAGGAGACCAAAAATTTCGAGACTCTTGCTGATATACGAGAGAGTCGCGTTTAAAGACTGTCTAAACTACTACCTAATGCATACAATAACTGTGATGTACGTCATTTATTGTGCGAAGCTCTAATCCAGCTCCTGTCGAGTGTTAAATGGATATTTTAGAGCGATGTTTGTTCCGTGTTATATCAATAATTAGAAAATCATCATTGTTCTTGATACTCGGCGCTTTTCAATCTACGTGGATTACACACGAATTAGAAGCGATTTTTCGCTTCTATCGAGTAACATCAATTTCTACCCAAAGATTCTGTCTAAATGATAATTTTACATAAAATATGATTTTATTGTTGATGTATAGATATCCAAACGCTAAATTTCAGTGTAATAAAATAATATCTTTTCAATTTAACAAATTGTATATAAGTCTTAAATTTTCTTTAAAGAGAAACTAATCAAGATAAAAAACAAAGATATTTAAGAGATTACAAAATCTCTGTGTATATATTTATAATTTAATATTGCTATACATTGAGTGTGTAAACTATTAGTTAATTTATGTAAATATATACGCATAAGTTTTATAAAAAAAGTTTACATTGGAACGACCAATTAGGTAATCGATTTATATTGTGAAAAAATACGTACTTGAAAGGGTAGATTGATTCAAAGGTAGAAAAACGGATATTAATAATCCGTCCAAAAATCTGCACAAATTCAATGATACGCGTGATAGGATCCGTTTGACTTATGTATAGAACAACATGGTCTTTAATTCTTTTTTTTTTCATTGATATTGATTCATTGTTCTTCAATGAATCATAGAAACCAAATTCATTCAAATTTTCGCATCTATGCAATGAACTATTAATAGTGATATTTGATTCCACATGAAAGATACTTAAAAAAGATTTAAGAAAAACTCTTGATAAAGCTTTCAACTAAATAAAATAATCCAAGCTTGTAACTATCTATGGTATTCACTTGTTGTATCATATGTATACATGTAAATGGAATTTGAATGCTATTTGTGAGATGCATAATCATTGAAGCACTATTAGCAATCAATGTTACAAATACTTAACTTACTGTTATGGTATGAAATAAAATGTGAATTTAATGACTTCAATTTAGTTTTAAATTTTTGTTCATTGATATAAATATATTACATATATACATACAAAATTTAAAACTTGTGAAAACAAAATATTACATATTTTATTATTTCACAAGTGCAAACACCATTAATCACAGTCAACATCTTCTTCAGGCGCTGATGAGTCACTTTCATCAGAAACATTCTTGTCCCAGTCTTTCAAATTTGCTTTCATCCCAAAGTCGTCTTCCAGTACACTCCAGCGTTTCTTATCACCCTAAAATATGAATTAAATTTCATAAAAATAAAAATTATTCTAATAATTATATTAATAATAGGCTGAAATATACCTCATCGTTTTCCTCTTTGATTTCTTGGATATCTTCTGTTGTATTTTCATTCTTTGATTCATTATTTTTTGCTCCCATTAATACATCTAAGAATTTTTTTCTGCTTATTTCTTTCAAAGCTTTGTCTCGTTTACCTTCACGAGGACCTGCCTCCTCTAATTTATCCTCTATTTCTTTTTGCTGTTTTCTAACGGCATTAAACAGTTGTACAACACCACTGGAAAAAAATTCATTAATTTATGTGTCACTTTATAAAATTATATTTAATTTAATTGATTTATTTTTACCGAATTTAATTAATACATACTTTGTAGCCATTCTCTGTAAACGTTTTTCACGATTTCGGTCAAGTGCTGAAGGTTTCTTACGAATACCAAGTACCTTCTTTTTGGCCTTATTTTGAATATCTTTCAGATTTGTTTCAGTTTTGATATCTTTTGAGGTCTCCACTTTGATTTTTTCATCTCCACCCTCAATTTCGAATGATACATCTTTTTTGGGCTGTACCTTTACCTCATTGATTTTTTTTGCTTTTGATAGAACAATAGTCTTCTTTTTCTTTGGTTTATTGGTTTTTAAAACCTTTTTCATAGCATCAGCCCAGCCAGGATTAGCAAGGGACTTATCGTTATCATTAACTTCAGAACCTTCAGAGTTATCCGACTCTTCATCGTGTTCTTTACCTTCACTTTCGGCAGAGTTTAATCCCTCGTTTTCACTGGATTCTACAACTTCTTCAAACATGTGTTCGTTTTCCATGTCGACTTCCATTATATTTAATGAAAAAACAATTGGTACTTCGGAAACAATTATAACTACAACAAATGGTCAAACACTTGCACACTTGAATAGTGATTAAGTAGCGAGGATCACTTTTTATGCGATATAATTAACTAAAAAAATACAATATTTACTTCTAACCTACACGGTCAATGTGAACATAGCTCGCCGACTGACGTTCGGAATTTGAACTCCTCCATGTGCTTCGTGCGATTAGATTATGCGCAGAACAATACAGCACATCACAGCAGAAGACCGTGTCGAATAGTTCAAAATTTTTTAAATAAATTTTTAAATAAAAACCGTAAAAAAACGATCAATTTCTTTTTCCGACGTAAACTTTATTTATTCAATTTTATGAATGATAGGCTTCATAGGAAATTAATTTTTAAACTAATAACTATATTATTCGTGAAAAAAGGGCTAACGAACTGAATGTCGGTAAAACTAACTTACCAATCGATTTGTAACGAACTTTCTTATAAAAGTGGCGGGCATTCGGACAGATTCTGAAATATACGCAGTATATATAGATACATACATTTAATATATTCGTTTTTCGATACACGACACAATGATGTAGGGTCCAGCAGAACTTATGCCGGCTACTCGTTTTAGCGCTGTGCAATTTTTGTAGCTTAATGTAAAAATTCGTTTCCTATGATAGAACAAATTTGAGGTGAATTGATTTGTACTTCATTGAGATGATTTATGAGTGGTGTAAATCGTGTGCGCGCTGATACTCCTTCATACTTATTAAACGCGCATTTTGTGCAAATTTTTCAGCGGGGATGACTGGAAGGAGATCGGGACCTTCTGATTCATGTGTCGAACTATTGTTTATCCCAATATTTCTAACCTCTGAATCGTCAAGCGAGTAGTTAATTATTTTCTCGATTTATGTTTAACATGAACAGAAATTGGAAACAAGCTACAAAAGAAGTTCCGAAATCTCCTGTTCTCTTCGATGATGACGGTAAATTCAATGTTTTACATACAATAGTTAAAATATTCAATAGTGTCACTCATGAACTTCTGAATTAAATTGTTTCTGACATTATTATTTACAGACTTGGATGCTTCATCATCCGATGAAATTAAGGTCATAAAATCTGGTGGATTGCAAACCCAAGCTGGCCATAGTACTCCAATACAAAACAGACTGAACAAGCCAGACTCTGAATCGCCAGATTTACATTATAATGACAGCCCAATTGAACCACTTACTCAACACCCTCCAAATGAAGTTGGTTGGGATTATAACAGACCCAAAGATGATGATAACAGTCCAGATTCTAAGGATATCAGTCAAACACCAAAAAGAAGTTTTCTTTTGGCCAAAAAAAGAAATTCCAATTCTCCACTCATACATAAGCCCATGAAAAAACTAATGCAAGAAGAACAAAAAGTTTACATTGCAGATTTTGTAGCTCAATTACAAGCGATTCAAAGTAATGTTAAAACTGTTGAAACAAAGTGTAATGAAACACCATCTGCAGTTGATGATGCAGAAAGTCAATTAATTATAGAAACACATTCACAACCATCAGATGACTCAATTCGTTTACAGCTACAGGTTTCAGCAATAGAGTCTCCCAAAAATGTTGATAAATCTCCAGAATTATGTAAAGGAATTAGAAAAAATTTACACAGTGATTTGTGTGATGACTCAATGGAAGATATGATGGTTATATGTAGCCAACAGATAGAAGAAAAGGAATTTGGACAAGAAAAAAATTGTGTTTCTAAACAATCTGGTCACAGCAGTGAGCGGATTAATAGTAGTAATTCATCATTACTTAAAAATGTTAGTAGTAAAACAGATTCAAAATCTTTGGAACTACCAGATGATTCTTTTGATAATATATTCTTAGAAATTAATGATGAAGATATTATAAAATCCAAGGAAACCAAGCCAGAAATAAATGTAATTGATACTTCGAATAAAACACTGAGTAAAAGCTCTAACTCGACTGTAAATTCTGCTACATCATCAAAAGTTGGTACCACAAACAAATTTTTTGTATCTAAAAATTTGGAAAATGTTGAAACATCCAAAACAAAAACAACAAGCATTTACAGTTATTCAAAACATAAAACAACAAGTAAGGTTGTTGTTCAAGACAAAATATGTAATGCAAATGCAAGTTTTGGATATTTGAACAAAAACACAATTCATAAAAATAATTCAGATTCTATTTCAAAATCTCCAAATACTTTTGATCATGACAATAATGGAAAACCAAAAGAATCAAAAATTTTCAAAGCCAAGAGCTTTACATATTACGATTTACAAAGCAATAAAAATAGTTTTATGCAACAGGATGAGAAAATACCTAGGCAACATAGCATGTCATCAAATATATCTAATTACACTAGGTCGGATACAAATAACTCAAATTCCAGTTACCAGGATAATAGAGCATGGAGGAGAACCCAGTCTGGATCATCAATTATGTCAAGACAAAGTGGAGTTTCTCAAACATTATCAACTCCAGAAGAAATTGAAAGAAAGCGCCAAGAAGCAATAATGAAAAGAAAAGCAAAATTAGCTTCTCAAAGTCTTTCAAATATCGGAAAATCAAATAAAAAATGAAAAATTTAAGGCTACTGTTAAAGAACTGTTAAAAATTAAGCTAATTAGTAAAAATGCTGAGACATAAGTCATTGGAGAAAGACAAATGATTTACTTTATCCTATGCCTCTATGTTGAGTAGAGAGTGTATTATATGTATTTTTTATTGTTAATTATAAGTTTAGATATAAATTTATAAAAAAATAAAATAACCGGCTGTGCCATTAATTACCTCTCTTCATTATTTACATAAAAAATTTCAATAATAGTAATCAGATTTTTTCAAAAATTTTTCCGAATTCAAAAGTTTTTCGGGAGTATAGAAGTAGATTTAATAAATCATGGATCTGTTAAAATCCTCTTTAACTTCAGTTGTCATTCGAAATCAAAACGTCGAGTACTGCAGTGCCATCTACTAACATTGATTTGAATTCCGTACCAGAATTTCAATAACAGATAGCCTCATTTTACTAAATACAAACACGATACAATAATGCGTATACATTGCAAAAAACTACTACTGAAGAAAAAACATCGAAGAAGCTTACAGATATAGTTTGATTTACACAACAAATTTGAAAATCAATAAAAAAATGCTTCACGAGCTCTTAGTTTCATTGTGGGGTTGTTCAACGAGTGTTGCCGAAATTATCGAAACTGATGTAAACAATTATGAATTATTTAAGTTAATCATGAATAGACGTTTAATAAAATGGATCGATTATTGTATCTTACAGCTTTTTTTTATTTTTAGCCATTGCGAGTAGACAGTTATCTTCACCCTGGTGAAAGAATAATAATTTTAAGAATATTAGAAATAGTGAAAGAATGCAATGAAATTAGAAAATTTATCAGAAGAAATGCTTGTGTGGATGGTCAGTTATATAAATTTTTATTAAAATAAAATAACAAACCCAATGACATGGTTTTTTACATTTTAGAATCCAAATCAACAAACAAAGGACTTTATCTTGCTGCACTTTGTGATGGTATGGATAAGGCATTAGAACCATTCAGAAAAGATATTGTTGACATGGAACGAATTGTTTTGAATGATGGTTACACTCCAATATCTATGATACTCACTAGAATACAAAAATACCAATTTTTATTCTCATTTTTAAAGACTATAATCAAAGAGGTAAAATTACTGTTAAACAGATTTCAGTGTTCAAGTTTCATTCAAGCATTCATGTTTTTAGATTGAGACTCAAGGCCTTTATGGTTGTGGTATATTACGGATATTACATCAACATGCCCATACTGGAGTTCCTCTAGTAAAACAAGCTCTCGAGATGTATGTTTTTTAATTTAATTTTTTTAATAATATTTGATTTACTTATCAATTTTTTTTCACTTTTAGACTAACTCACTGTGTACACGTTGTATTTTATAAGCACTTAACAAGTTGGTTACTTTATGGACACCTAGAAGATACTCATAATGAATTTTTTATTCAAAAAAGAGAACAAAACAGTGAGTTGATTATGAGTGAAGAAAAAGAAATGGAAAAAGTGAAAGATAAAGATGCTGAAATTGATGATGGAAAAGAGTTTTCAAATGAAATGTGGAATTTTACTGTAAATTCAAACATATTACCTTACTACATTAGTCAAACACTTGGAAACAAAATATTGTCCATTGGTCAGACAATTATTATGTTTGGGAATGATCCTAGACAAAGAAAAGATTTAAAATTAATGACTAAGAATGCAGAAAATTTAATTTGGGGAGAAAAAGAATATGAATATTTTGAACAGTTAACAATTTTACAATCAAATCCAAAATTTGCACTTATAGAATTAGAAAGATTAATTGATCAACTCAAAAAATGTGTTACACAACATTTATGGCATGTAGCTGTTGAAGAGGCACAACTTTTAAACCGTCTTAAACTTATCAAAGATTTTTATCTCATGGGAAGAGGTGATTTGTTCCTCGAATTCATCAGGCTTGCCACGCATGTCCTAGATAAAACTCCAACAAATCACACATCACGGGATATTAATTTAGCTTTTCAAATGGCTCTTAGAAAAACACAATCTACTGATGAAGCTTCATTGGACAGTTTCACTTTTGCCGTTCCTGTTCATCCCATCCATAAAGATGAAAATATTACTGAAATAAAAGAATCGAGTGCAACAACTAATTCAGAATTTTCTGAAAAAGAAAGGGAGGATCCAATAGGTAATACAACATAAGTTTCATAATCTAGTTCAACATTGAAAGTGGTATTAACTGTATCTTATTCAAATTTTGTTGCAGATAAAAAAGGTTGGGGTTTGGTTATTTTAAAATTTAAAGTTACCTGGCCACTTCATTTACTTTTCAATCCATCAACATTAGCAAATTATAATACATTGTTCAGATTCTTACTGCGTGTTAAGAAAACACAAATTAATTTGTGGAATCTATGGAGGGATCATATGAACTCTAAAAAAATGTTAGACATCATGGTTTTTGATTGGAAAAATATATTTTTTTAATTTTTATGTAACACTGAATAATTACATAAGTACTATTTATTTTCAGAGATATTGATGTACTCCAACTTCGCAATAATCTCATTTTTATTGTTGACAACTTGCAATACTACTTACAGGTTGATGTTATTGAAAGTCAATATGCAATTATGGAAAATAGTTTGAAAAACACTAAAAATTTCGAAGAAGTACAAAAAGCACATGCATTATTTTTACATAATGTAATGTCACGAACTTTTTTAATTAGTGAACGTGTTGATAAGCCCAACCCGGTAAATTTTATTTAAAAAAAAATTGCAATAAATTTAAAAATAAATCAACAAATTTATTTTAGGTCAACAAATTAATCAAACTTCTTTTACGAGTTTGCGATGATTTCATTCGCAATGCTTCTGTCTGGGAGATTGAACACCTATTGGAGACTGAGAAAGCTGAAAGAAAAGCTCTCAATGATGTATTAGATGGCTTGATGAGTTGGTTGACCAAAACACTAGATAGAGTACGATCGCAGCCTAGTGGAGAACATTTAGCTCAATTACTATTGAGGCTTGATTTTAACAGGTGGTTCAGTAGTAAAACACTGTAGGAAACTTAATTATTTTCTAATATATGCATTGTTAATTTCACGTATAAAAGTAAATTGATTAACAACAATTAGATGTAAACTTTTACACCATAGATAGAATAATACCTTTAGTCACTGTCATCATAATACTCTTCTTCATTTTCTAATGAAGGTGCTGTATACAATTGTTGACTTTTTTGAATTGCATTTTTTATTACCAAATTGCTAGCCAGTTCTTCAGCTGTATGACCAGCATTATTTTTTATAGCTGGATTACAATTAGCATTTAGTAACAAGTTTACAATGTTTGTATGTCCATGGCTGGCTGCTACATGCAATGGAGTGTCACCCATTTTGTTCTTTTGAATATATAATATTATATTTAAAATAAATTAAGATTTTCAAATAAGCATCAACAGTATTTCAATAATATAAATTGGAAAATTTTCAAGCAATCATTACCTGAGCATTTACAGCTGGGTTTGCTAATTCTAGTAATAGTTGAACACAGTCTTCATGTCCAGTTCGTGCAGCCCAATACAGTGGTGTATTTCCAGCTGAATCCAGTCCCGTTCCAGAAACTCCACTACTTAAACATTCTTTCAAGAATGATAAGTTGCCTCTTCTAGCAGCTTCATGAAGAGGTAAAACTATTTCTTCCACTTGCTCTTCCACTAAAAGAAATAATTAAATAAAATACCGTTTCAAGTACTACCTATAGAAGTTATTTTATTGCATTAACCATAATTTGCTGGTATCCATCCTCTTTTAGTACCACATCGTGCCTGCAACTTGTTGCTTGTATTAGATTGTCCGCTGTCATAGACATAGAGAAGATCACCTTCTTCAAAGGATAATTCATCATTCTGGTGATTAAGTAAATATTTGATAAACTGGAAAGACTTTGGTCTATTTTATTTTTACATTCTATACTTACATGTTGAGCAGTGTATTTAAAAAGGGCCCTCACTACTTTAACTTTACCTTAGTAGAAACAATTTTAAAGACATAAGTTACTTGTGATCATAAAATTCTATCAAACGTCATTTTTTACAACTTGCGTGGTTCTCTTTACTACGAATGATGATGTGTGTGTAACCTATCAATATAGGAGTTCAAGAATTTCCAAGAAAGTTGTAATATCATTTTATTGATGTAAAATTAAATTTTTATTTCAATCATTCATAATAAAATTGTTTAAATTGCATAAAATACCAGGTTTTGTTATCGGTTTTGGAGGTGCTGGACGCCCAGGAGTGTTTACCGTGGCGGCCATCGTATTATCTACACTTGATAACAGATGGAACTTGAGTGTGTATTTCACATATATACATCGCAGCCTGTCATGCATCATACTATACAATGTCTCATCAACACGTCGAGTGTACTACGTTCAAAAATGTATTTTAGCTCATTAAGCTACTTATCAACAATATTATACAAATTTCTTAACAATAATTTTATACAAGATCTTATACTTTTTGAGCAATTTTTATCAAAAACATCTTAGTTAGGTGCTTTTCCTTGTTATTTTTATAAACATTACCATATCTAAAAAATAAATTTTAAGAAGATAAATATATTACAGTATGATTGATATATTTTTAATATACCAATAGATTTACTCACAAAAAAATATAACTATGACAAATGCCATCATTAACCATAAACAATAATTCCAAGTTGAACTTTTTGTATGCTCTTCTAGTTTTGTTGATTCTGCTTTCAATTTCATTGCATTTTTTTCAGTTATCTGGTCAGACATTTCAAGATGGTTTATATCTTTTTTTATTACTTCTCTAGCTCTTAAAGCGTTTCCTTTTAAATATGAAGTCCAATGAATCATATCTTCTGCAATCGTAGTTTGCTTTTCTTGATTATGTTTCATTATAATATCAAAATCTTGCTCTTGCTCATTGGAATTATTACTTTTATGCCTCATCGCATCATTTTCATCTACAAAAATATAGTTCTTGAACAATACAGTTATTTTCCATACTATTGACAATGAATTTTTAAAATAGAAATTGTACCTAAACTGGTTCGAAATAGTTCATGTCGAGCTTCTTGACTGTACTTAGCTGTGGTTTTATAATGAATTTGACTTTTTAAATTAAAACCATCTGTCAATTCACTTGTAGGATGCGGAATCAATTGTGCAGCCATAACTCTTTCAAGTGGATCTGAGAGACTAGTAGCATTGAGTACACATTTCAAAAATTCAGCTGTTTTAATATACTGAATCATCACTTCTCTGGGTGGTTTGCTATTAAAAAACCAAATTAATTATTTAGAAAAAATGTGTAAAGGGTATAATTATTAATTTAAAAATGTCATGTTTTTTTACCCTGGTGAACGTTGTAATTCCTCAATCATACTTTGCACCGTTTCTACATACTAAAAAAATAATATTATGTAAATTTTGATTAATATTTTCAATTACAGCAAAATAGAATAAGAAAGATTGTTTACTTTTTCAAGTTTCCAATTTGGATTTGAGTTTTCTTTTGCAAGAATTTCACACTGTCCAAGCAATCTTCTCAAATTTATTTCTAATCTAGTTCTATCAGTCATATTGATAATAAAAATGTTCAATGAAAGCAAAAGTAATTTTTAGAATTATAACTTTCTCGAATTCTTATATTTCTGGAAATTTTTGACAGCTGGTGTCTACAAATTGCAATAAAACAATAGTTTCTAAATTTCATCAATCTAGTTCCACAAGTATATTACGCATTACTTGAATCACGTTCGTGTAATTTTTTGTCAACGATTTTGATTAGAAATATTTCAGAAAAAATTAGTTTTTGTTATTTTTTCGTGAAAAATGATTGACGTGCGTCCGATCGCGTATAAGACGATAGTCGGTTATTACTCTTAATACTGCTACGTCGTCTGCTCTTCTTTGAATGTATTCCTGCACCGGTGGATATTGCAGTATTACAATCAAGTTATTACCCGTCATAGCTACAATTTTAAGATTAAAAGACTATAATTTGAAGTGTGAATTTAATTTTTACTCTCGATTTTTGGATTGTTAATAATCGCAATAATCATTTGTATTAATTTCATCGTAAATTTATTCTTATTATAGGATGGTCATGTTATTATTTAATAATGGTGATGATAATGATACAGTTTTATAAAAGTTGAAAAATTTTCATTTTTACTGTCGTTTTGGTATCGGTTACTGAATAATTCAATTTATTATCAATAATATAAGGTAATTTAAAATTAAAATTATACTGTAGCCAAAAAGTAAATAAATGAAAAGCATTAAAAGTATATATATTTAAAAAAAAGTCATCAACATATATTTACAAAATATACAAAATAATTACAACATATATTTGTTTAAAAATTAATTTCGTTTCAAATGTTCAACCACACATAGGTTGTAAAATAGCTCTTCTCTTAGCTTCTTCCAACTCTTGATTTGATACCTCTTTAGTTCATGGAGGTAATCTGCCAGTTCTTTGTTCTCTACTATTGTAGCTCCGTGACACTTCAAAAATGTTGAAAGATATGCTTGAGCTAGTTCGAAATCTTGTTTACTTTTTAACATATGTTTTAACAATTTCATAAATTTCTTTAACATAGGAACTGCAATTATCATATCAAATGATAAAGTTTCTATTTCCACATTTATTTCACTAGGATTCATGAGTTTCAATTTATTTATAGCTTCATTGTATTCTTCAGTTAGAGCACATTTTTCTAATAAACAACCAAATACTGTAAGACTTTTAAAATCATGATGAGTTAATAATTTACTTTGACTATCATCTTTTTCTATGCCAGAAAAATCAAATTGTACTTGAAGTCCAGCAGATGTAGGAAGAAAGAAAGGAGCTGCTACTGGTTTTTTTGGTGGTTCTTTTGGCTTATTGCGTCTTTTGATTTCACTAATATTCAAAAGATTCAACCAGCGGGAAGAAGGAAGTGCTGATAAGGTAACAAGTTTTTTACTGAGACATTCAGGAGATTTATAGTCAGTTTCTTCATCATCTGGTTTTTCATCATTTTGTTCCTCTTCATTTGGTTCCTCATCAATTACCATAAGATCTTCAAGATCTCCAGCAGTAACTACATCAGTAGTAGTACCAGGTAATGGAATACTAGGAATATTACTTTCTGAGTCAATCGACTTCAGTGTTATCTGCGAATATAAAGTCTTATTTGTCCACAACATTATTCCTAAGTTACAAGTATGTGCAGTTGCTAGAAACTCCCCAGTTGGAGAAAATGTTAGAGAAATACAAGCCTCTGGAACCTACAACAAAAGAAGTAATTTAATATGCTTCAATACTTAAGGAGTCAAAATAAAAATTTATATTTAAATAATAACCTGGAAAATATCTATAACTTGAGCTGATGGAATGTCCCATACTCTGATGGTTCTGTCAATAGAAGAACTGACAATCCACCTAGAATCAGGACTAAATGTCACATCTGTTAATGGTCCTCTGTGTCCTTCTAATATTCGCACAACGCGATGCATGTCTATGTCAATCACACAAATAGAAAAATCTTGCAAGGCAACGGCAACTAATGAATTTTCAGTATGAGATCTCAAGAATTCAACTGATTCTTTAAGAGCAATAACTGCTTTTGGTTGGGTATCTAAAAAAACATATTAGATTAAAATTTAAAGAATTTTTGAATTAATTGACTCAAGTGAAAAATACATACCTTTAGTAGGCTTGAATGGCCAAAATTTTACAGTAGCATCTCTACCACCACTAACGACTACTGAATTAATGCAGTCAACACTTACACCCTTGATAGGGCCATCATGAGCTCCACTTTCATTACCATATGAGCATCTATGAGCTCCAGATTGAAGATTGAACCTTTCCAAATGACCATTATTATAACCAATAATGGCAAAGTTACCACACTGAGTAATGGTAATAGCAGTTGCTGTTACATTCAAATTATACTTGATTTTTTCAGGTAACAATTTGATACTGCCCATTTTCAATTTATTGTATGACCATGTGGTAACTACACCTAAGCCATGGTGGGTAGTAATAATATTGTCCCAATCTTTTTCTCTAGCAGCTTCTGCTGCAAGAGCTGTCATGGCAGGCATAATCAAAGGATCTTCTATTGCTCTTCCTTTCTTTTTGGAAGCTTTTCTATTGAATGAAGCTCTGCCTAATGATTTATTGAAAGTTTCTGTTTTTGTATTAAATATCCTCAGTGATGAATCTCCGCTAATGGATAGAATATTAGAGCCATCTTCTCCATAGAATCTTAAATAAAAATTGACAGGTATAAAAATTTTTCACAAGACTTGGGTAATTATTATTATTATTAGTTAAAAGCATACCTTATACTAGTAGGAGGTTCTGCATGTCCTTCCCTTATTCTCAAGAGTCTACCTCCACCATCAGCAGCATCAAAAATCCATAATTTTAAAGAATTATCTGGAGAAGATGATACTAATAGAGGTTCATTAGCTAAAAACTTCATTCCTGTCACAGACGAAAAGTGAGCATTTGTAATACAATTCTCAACTCTGCGATTTTTAAGATCCCAAAGAACAATGTGTCCATTCATGCTTCCAGTGGCCATAATTTCCTGATTATCAGTTCTAAACGATATTGACGTTACACATCCCCAATCTTGCTCAAGTTCAAACAAAGTCTGATCAAGTTTGAGATTGTGAAAAATGATTTTACCGTTCTCTAATCCTACTGCTGCAATATCAACTGCAGTTGATTGTTCAATAACTGTTATTGGTGATGACCATCCTTCAAACGTATGAATCAACTTCATAACTTTGATATTAAGTAATATCATTTTTCCTTGTTTACTTCCCAGTACAATTTTATCAAGATAAGTAGTTGGATGCATAATGGCAGTCACTTGAAAAGTGGCATTATTGTACTCTGTCTCGGAATAAAGTTCTTCTGTCTTGATGTCCCAAATCATAATCTTGCTTTGTTCATCGATAGATATAAGATGAGGTCCAAAGGGAAAAAGAAGGTGTACAGGATATTTATGTCCTCTATAAGTGTGTTTCAACTCATTTCCTCTTCTCCAAGCATAAATCTCCTTACCGGCGGCTGTGTATACGTGATAAGTGTCAGCAGCAAGGCATGTTATATCTTCGTGATGCGCTCCAGATACGCTGAGTAGAGTAAAATGCGAGCATCCGTACGTATGAAAACTGCGCCCCGCACAGGTTACAATCAGATGTTCTCGACGACGCTGTATAAAGCGAGTGACAAGCGGCACATCGTTACTCACAAAACCGAGGGCACGATTAGGTTGAAATACAGCCGAGCCTCCTTGTGGGACGGTCATCGTGTTTTCCAGGATTGATGTTACTTTCACAATATAAATAATTGGTTGCACTACTTGTAATGACGGCCTTGTGAACGCGAAGCCGGCTCGAATCGTAATGCTGCGATTGCACGTGGCTGGTGTTCTCAGACGTTTTTTATCGCTCTCTCGAGTAACGAGTTCACAGCACATGGCTGATCCCTGATGATGCTGCCGGAACCCCAAATTGAACGCGAGCGGCAGATTCAAAATGATCACGATATCAATAACTTCCTCACAATAATTTTTAGTGTACATTTTTTTAGACAATATTTATGATATTATTACATTTCTATAATTAATATTCGTCGTGCATTAGCAAACAAGTTCATATTTAAATGCGTTCATTTATAATCCAAAATACAATTTTTGAGCTTTGACCATACGACTTCAACCGCGGATTGAAAATGTAACATATTGTAATTTAATTTTAAGCAATAGTATATTACATGCTCTGAGGCTTTCCTTTTCGCTTCTTAGGTGCCTTACTGCGTATACTATTTTTCATGAATCCCCCAGCAGAAATTAACTTTTTCGTTGTGGTTGCTGGGACGAAAAAGGTTAGTTTCGGCTGGGGTAGCATGAAAAAAAATATTTGGATTTCCTTATATTACTTAAAAATTTGCTAGAATATATTTCTAATGGATGTCTGACCAGGACCGACTTTATGTCGTAGGTGGAGACCTAGTGCTGCCAAGTTTCAAATCCAAAATGTCATGATGATTTGTGCAAGTAGTTTCTTACTGTGTTTAATTTTATACTCTGCATTAGAGTAATTAAATAAGTTTAAAAACTAATAGATATAATATGAAGATAAATATTATGAAAATACATTGATAATTTTTCATGTAACTTTTAAAATGTAACTCCGTTAAAATGATCATGTTAGCAACAAGGGCTGTGATAATTAACATAAAATGAAATCAATAAACAAAAAAAAAGTTTTTTAAAGTTTTTAAGAATTATAGTGGCGATGAATTTCTGTATAGAGATACTTCTTGATGTGTGCCGCTTAGATTTTTTAGACCACGAAAACCCTCTTTGGTTTTGTATGGGAAATCGTAAGTCACCAAATTATATTTATGATTAATTCAATTGCAATGCAGTTTCTCGCCTTCTATGACAAGCTGAAATCATGATTTTGGTTGAGAACATGGTAAAGAGTCAAATAAATAAACGGAAATGGCACCCACGTATAGAAATTAATAAAGCGAAATTTTAACTAACTATACCTATGGACTTTTAAAGAGTACATTAAAAGTGACCATGAAAAATATTTTAGCCATGAATTTTTTGTAAAATTGATGAACAATCCATATTTCTTATCAAAAATCATAATAAAAACCTCTGAAACTATTTTAAAATAAAATTTTCAAGGTCTTGAAAGTCATAGCAGCATAACAGAAAATTTAACATTGAATTATTTTTGGTGTTAAATGCTTTTTTTTATTTCAGCGAAGTGCAAAGGGAGAAAAATTAAAAACATAAGATGCCGCTAATAAATTTTCAAACTTTCGTTCCTTTTGAAATACCTATATACGATTTAAAAAAACAATTGCATGTGATTTTCAATGCTCGACTATTTCACAGCTGATTTCACAGCTAATGGGAATGGGCGCTCGGGGTACAGATGAAGGGTCGGGTGTGTTGAGTTAAACACAAAATATCATATCGTAATATCATTATTATTTTTTTTCTTTCAAACAATGTCCAACTTGGGCTCACTGAATAGGGTTCCCGCTGGGGGAGGAAGGATAAGCAATTTAGGTGAGTTTTGCGAAAATCGTCAGCAAACCGAACCTTGACGATCTCTCATCGAAACTTTCAGGAACGAAGATCACTTACGATCCAACATGGAGCAGTCCTCTGAACGTAAAACGAAAAGCAGAAAACATATCCTTCACAGTTGTTTATTACTTGTTTGTCTGCCTATGGTTTGGAGTAGCTGTTTACGGTATGAACTTTTTTTCTCTTTTTTGGCGCACGATCATTTAAAAATGTCTTATCCATACCTACACATAAGTTTGTGCGTATGCGTGTTTTACGACTGCCAACATTAATGACTTGATATTATGACTTGAAATGATGGTGTAATTTTTCGTTCAGCGTTGGTGACCGGCGACGCGGAAAAGTATAGCGACTTCTACCGTGACTCTGAAGATCTTATCTTCAAAGAAGGGTAACACAAATTCACACACGCTTACAAAAGATTTATTTACAAATTGGCACGAATATTTCAGATGGATCATAGCGATTGTACTTCCCTTGGCTGCCTTTTTATCGATATTGTGTCTGTTGCTATTGAGAGTCGCCGCGAGGCCCGTGGTTTACACGATGATCGCCTTGTTTTTCATAGGCCTCTTGGCACTTGTGATCACCTTGGGTTTTTTTCTGGCTTACGATCAGTCAAAATTATACATTGCTTTGTTCGTCTCGTCAGTTCTGGTGCTGATCATCTTTTTCTGGCTGTTCATCGTCAAATACAAATTCATCCCGATGATCTGCGAAATCATTCGAGAGGCGTCCAAGCGAGTATCATCCCAATCAATTAAAAATACGAATCGATTCTTAATTTCGCTTTGTTCTTTCAGAGCTATGTTGGCCTTTCCGTTGATGTTTTTTTACGCAATAGCCTACTGTGTCGTAAGCGGGGGGTTTCTCATATTTACCGTCTGCTTGTTCTTCTGGATCGAATCGATTGGCAGCGACGACGACTATCCAGCTCACTTAGTCCTCTGTCACCTCATCAATGGCGTGGCTCTCGTCTGGATCCTCTGCCACATGTACGGATTTTTCAAGGTCAGCGTGTCCGGTGCTTACGGCACCTGGTATTGGACCATGAACAAGAAGGAAGTGCCGAAATTCACCACATTGCGCTTCATCTACATCGCCTTCAGGTACACCATAATTATCATCATATCGTCACAACGACGCTCGCACGCAAGAAATGGAATTCAAAGTCTGGAAACGTATTTATTCGTAGATACCACATTGGCCCGACAGCTTTCGGCTCGCTGATCATAATGGTTTGCACCATACTGCAGATCCTGCTTGCGTTTGCTTCATCGTGGTCCGGCGTCGACGCGAATGCCGGTGCTGATCTGTACAACTGCGGTTTGCATTGCTGCGACACCGTTTTGTACATCCTTAAGGCCGTCGTCGAGGCGGTCACCGGCATGGCTTACGTTCACATAGGGAATCACGGCACCGGCTTCATCGATGCGGCCCGAATATCGTTCACTCTATTCAAAAGAAATTACGCGAAAATCGCCGTTCTCACGCAGGTAGACATTTATCTTTCCATAGTAAGTTTTAAAAATCAAACGTACGCACAATTATTAATTGGGGAAATTCTTTTTAATTCAAAGATCGTGGAACTATTGTGCTTTTTTATGGACGCAACGATTACAGCCTTGTCTTTTCTATTATTTTGGGGATTACTGCATACGCAATCGGTCAAATTAGAAGAAAGATTAGGCCTATTGACCTGTTTTTTGGTTTGCATCTACTTCACGGTCGATTCAATAGTTCTTTTACTGATGATAGCTACCGACACAATCTTCATGTGCGTTCTTGAAGATTACGAAATGAACGGCGGCAGCTCGAGACCCTACCACATGTCCAATAAGTTGAAAGATTTAGTTCTCGAAAATAGACTGGATTAAAATTTTCATCAAGCAATCAAAATTTTCGTCGCCCACGAGGATTGAAGTGGACTTTTTTTTTAATTTTTCACCAAGAATTACTTGATTAAGAAAAAATCTACTCGTCGATTTATTTGCTCATCCTTACAAACACGTATACTTCAGACAACCTGTACTTTAAAGCTTCACTGACGATTTATAAAAAGAAAGTGTGATTCATTTAATTTGCAATAAATCTTGATATAATAATAATAAAAATCAGAAGTTTCAATCCGTACATTCTGCTACAATAGTTATTTATTAAAAAATTTGTATTTGAAAAACTAATGTTCGATGAATTTAAAATTTATAACCAGTAAATTATATTATTTAAATTTTGTATTAAAAATGTTTACAATTTTTTTTATACTTTGCTGGGTAGGTGCTACCGCACCTTTTGATATCAGCTTGCAATATGGACAATAATCGATTTACTACTAATTTTTCTCGTGGTCAGTTTTTTTAGAGGTTTTTGAATTTCGCAAGAAAAGCATCAAATTAGGGTCTCTGGAAAAGGGAAATGGACGATTCGAAAAATTTTGAAAATATTCAGATTCTTTGAAAAATTTCAAAACTTTTGATCTGTGCATTTTTTTGTTAAAGTGCTCCTATCTTGATATAGAAAATCTCAAAGATTTTCAAATAAAATAGAAAACCCCTTTTAAAATTGGGCCCTCTAAGGCCCATTCCATAAAACTAAGCATAGGGAGCTTTATTATTAGGTTCCTGGAGACCCCAAAAAAATGTTGGTAAAGATCCGTGACCTGAAGGTGTGAAGATCTCCTTGTAAGTATGTACTGAGTACATACTTACATTACAATGGACTTGTAATTTATTATTCAATATTTAGCCAAAAAAATAATAAAATATTTTGAAAAAAAAATTACCACGACGTGAAATTCTTCTAATAGCAACTTTTTGGTGTGCTTTTATATTATTTATACTTACGGTCTTATTATATCTATATAAAACAGAGAATATACACCTATACAAAACAGAGAATACGAGTCTGCGCGCCGTCGTTGCTGGCCGATTGCGAATTTGTGACATCAGGTCGTATCGCGAGATTCGCGAGTGAGTGAGAAAGGGAGAGAGTCGTGACGACGAGTGACTCCGTGAGCATGCAAGAACCGTCTGCTGCTGCTGCGTGATATATATAGTGCGAATATATATGTGTGTGTGCTATATACACGCGAATGTAGGCGAGCTGACTGATTCCCGCAGTCGCCGCGAGTTCAGTGGTTGATGCTACTTTGCTCGCAGTGTGTCCTACTACCCGTCTTCTGCACCATCGACTGCATCCTATATACCTATCGTGTTCACATACACATAAGGCAGTGGGCATATCTTACGCATATAGATAGTAGACTCTACCCGTCAGTATAAGACGCTCCTTTCGCGGCACTCGCATTAAGACCATGTCAGCTCTGCCGCGAAACGTCAGTATCTTGCCTCCCCGTGGTAATTGAAAAACACCCATACATGTAATTTCATATCGAGTGCAAACCGTGCTGTTGTTTTCCTCCGTGTGTGCGTGTGTGTGTGATTGTACTTGCTCACTGTGTCTGTGTCTCTTTCTTCCTCTCGCGCTCGTTCCTGTGTTGCCAGCGTGATAATACGCGAGAGAGAGAGAGAGAGAGAAAGAGAGAGAGAGAAAAAAATAGAAGAGCCGCGAGATTTATTTCTGTTGAACGACTCGGAACAGCTTCAGGAGGAGAATGGCCGAATTGAGAAAAAGAAACGTGCCCGAGGCGGCTGCAACTACTGCGGCAGCTACCAAGGACGAAGATCAGGTGCGCATAATATTCACTTTTTGTATATGTGTAGTATAGGTAGGACGTAACACGCATTCGCACGTACTTCCAGCCACCCCTATGAGTCAGGCATTATGAACTGATCCTCGCTCGGTTGTCTTCTGATAAAATATACATATATATATGTGTCGTGCGTGTATGTAGCATGCGTGTGTTTTCGCCGCGGCAAGTTTACCTCGATACATCATTATGCCGTAAACGAATAAACATTTTTTTACAATTCGATTATCAGCTACGGTTCGCGAATTTTCTTCGTGGCGCATTTAAAATGTGCATCGACCGTGCACCTGTTTCACACTGTACGCTTGTTTTTATTTCGACCAGTTTGACGCATATCAGATTAGAGAGAGAGAGAGATGCAACTTTTTTGGCTCGCTGGCGTTTTGCTTGACGCGCGCTGCTGCCCGAGCTATGGCATGTATATCGCAAAGAATGACGTTGCGGATATACAATCAGTTTACTCGTTCTGTTATATGTGTACCTATGTATGTACTACGTACACCGACTATCGCATATATATATGAAAATAGAATTGTATACATACTGAACGCCCACGCATACTTGATGCTCGAATCGTTAAAAGTTATTTCTATGAAACAATTTCTTTTTCTTCTACTTTGGGCCTCGTAATTTTATAAATTTTCTTACACGTTCTTTAATGCGCACAACAAAATCTATTTTAGTTTGTAATTTGATTTATCGACGTTCGGCTCGACTCAGATTACTCTTGTGTTACCTTAAATACATAATACTGATTTTCTGGTGGAAAATCACGCTTTACTTGGCCTCGTAAAGAATAATGTGATGAATCATTGCCCAAGTTATTTGTTCTGCACACTAGATAATGATTATTATATATTTTACTTGAAGAACTTTTAGTTTATCACGCAATGGTGAGAATCTCGGAATATGTACATTTTATTTTTTTACTCATACTATCTTTGACATAAATTATATGAGATTCCAACTTATTTCTTTTGCTAAAATAAAGTATATCAGCATTTCATTGGAATACTGAAAATAAAATTCTACTCAAATTTGATAGTAGAGATCTATTTTTTTTTTTAATTTTACATTTTCAATGTGGAATGCCATTTAAAAACAATTATTCATTTTCCAGAAAGAAGATGTTGAGTCTGAAGATGACGCCAAACTTGATGTTGATGAGCTTGCAAAAACTCTACCACAAGGAACAGATCATACCCCGGAGCTACTTGGTTCAGCTCTTTCTGGCTTACCCGACCGGTATAAATTTGAAAGCTTGCAATATAATGATTTAAATAAATATCTACATAATTGAATAGCTAACATTTTTTTAATGAAATTTTTTAGCTGGAAAAATTGGGTTATTCGAGGTATTTTCACCTTCTTGATGATAGGAACTTTTTGTTTGATCATTTATGGAGGACCCCTGGCGCTGATGGCTACGGTTAGTTTTGAATATATTTACTTTCAAAATTATTATTAATACTTTAAACACTTGTAATAATTGATAAATTATCATTTTTTAGGTATTAATTGTACAAGTAAAATGTTTTGAAGAAATTATCAATATTGGATATGCAGTCTACAGAATTCATGGTCTACCATGGTTTCGTTCATTATCTTGGTACTTCCTGATCACTTCTAACTACTTTTTCTATGGAGAAAATCTAATGGATTATTTTGCTGTAGTTATAAATAGAATGGTAATTGAACTTAAATTCATAATACTAAATGCTTTTCATGCTCAATGTAGTTTAATTCTTAGTACTGAGATCTTTAATAATACAAGTACATTTCACATATGTGACATAAAATCAATATGCATTGTTGCTATATATATCATTTCACAGACATATAAGGTTTCTTTCATTAACCACTGGGGCTTCAGGCTCAATTCATTCGACTGACACTAAACATATATCTGTGGTGGAAAGGGCTAACGAGATAACTCCATTTTTTTCGAAATCGAGTTTATGACATGAATTACCTATATGTTATGTCTACTTTAAGGTACAAGTGTCACAAAAGCTGAAAAGAGCCCCTATCGTTCAATATAACACCGTGCCTAACGAGATAAGTCCATTTCGCTGCAAACGATTCCCGGCCAAACGAGATAAGTCCACCTTTGCGAGCTCCAAAATGCGATAAAGAGTCTAGATTGATTTGAAAATGGAAGAAAATGATATTCCAACATACAAATGGCTCTCACACTCTTCGAATGTTGTGAATTTCACTATACAGTTGGTACATTTGATACACGAGGGGCCATTTTCGCGATTTTCAGTTTGGCCTTTTTTCGTTGCAAGATTTGAGATCTGATACCAGTATAACGTTAAATGAGCTATTTTATCAATGTAAAATCATTACATGTGGTTTTCATCACAAACTAAGCGAAATTATCGATATTGAAAAAAGTGTGACCGCTAAAAGTGGACTTATCTGCTAAGCGGGGAAAGGGCTAACGAGATAAGTCCATATTTTTTGCTCCGTATCATCACTATGATGCGTCTTTCAATTTCACAAGTACATAGTTCAAAAGATACCTCATAATAGGTAAAAATATCATAGGTACAGATCTTTAGTCGTCCGCGTCTAGCTAGGCCTTCGTGCGCAACTTAAAACGCGTTTTTCTCGAAAACACGAAAAATGGAGTTATCTCGTTAGGCCTTTCCACCACATATATTGAAATTTGAAGATTTTCATGACCTTGAAGTATGTAACATTTATTTAGTAAACTAAAAAAAAATTTATTTTTGCAGGAGTATTTACGATTCCTTGTGACTTATCACAGATTTGTATCATTCTGTTTATATATTATTGGATTTGTTTGGTTTGTCCTATCTCTGGTCAAAAAATATTACATGAAGCAATTTTCTCTATTTGCATGGACTCATGTTGCCCTTTTAATAGTTGTCACACAGAGTTATTTGATAATTCAAAATATTTTTGAAGGTTTAATATGGTATGTACCTCTTATGTAACACAAGAAACATGATTTATTTATAATTTTCTAAATTTTTATTTCTCTAGGTTTATTGTGCCTGTGAGCATGATAGTTATCAATGATGTTATGGCTTATGTTTTTGGATTCTTTTTTGGCAGGACACCTCTGATAAAATTATCTCCCAAAAAAACTTGGGAAGGATTTATAGGTGGTGGATTTTCAACTGTTGGACTTGGTTTATTGGTATAATTGTTTCTCTTTATAAAATTATGGTGTGAATTTTTGAAGTTAACTTAAAAAACAAATAATATTTTCAGATGTCATATGCTATGTGTCAGTATCGGTACTTTGTTTGTCCAATTGAATATAATGAGGCTCTAGGAAGGATGTCAATGGACTGTGAACCATCTTATTTATTCAAGCCCCAAGAATATACTTTACCAACATTTTTGCAATTCATGCCTTCCATATTTAAATGGAAGAATACTATAACAATGTATCCATTCATGTTACATTCCTTATCAATGTCGATATTTAGTTCAGTTATTGGACCATTCGGTGGTTTCTTTGCGAGTGGTTTTAAGAGGGCATTCAAAATCAAAGTAATGAATTAATTCATTTAGAAAAATTGTTGAAATAATTTTTTTGGTTAATATTTTTATTCATATTTGTACTAATGTTTTAATTATATTGTAGGATTTTGGTGACGTCATTCCAGGTCATGGTGGTATAATGGATAGATTTGATTGTCAATATTTAATGGCAACTTTTGTTAATGTCTACATTACTTCTTTCATTCACACAGCTTCTCCACAAAAGTTATTGCAACAGGTAAGTAAAGGATGATAATATAAATTAATAAGAATTTATTTCTTATGATTAAATAAAATTTTTTTTAGGTTTTCAATTTAAAACCTGAGCAACAATTACAATTATTCCAAACATTGCAAGATTCCTTACAAAATAGAGGACTTTTAAATGCTTCCTAAACTATTTAAAATAGTTTTAAATGTCAAGATTTTGCAATCATGATCATTGAAAAATGTAATGATCAATTGAACATCAACAACTGTTCTTTTTTTTGTGTAAAATCTTCTACGATCAAGTCTTGTAAATTTTTAATATTACTTTGTAACTAATAAGCGCATAAATTCAACATTATTTATATTGATCATTCTATATATTTTATAACTTGAATTTTTGTAGTTAATTCAGCTAATCTACCCATGAATCTGTAGATTTTATTGAATTAATTGCGCCGTAAAAATTCAAGCGAGTCAGAAGTTATTGTTTCGTTTAATTTGTTGTTATTTTTCTAAGAAGTAGATTTAAAAAGTCATTAGATTTCAGATTTATTTTTGCATTTAACTTTTTTTAAAAACATGCAATATTTTCGTCTGATTAGGTTTTAGTGCATATCATGCCAGAAAATTTTAGTTTTGTTAAAAATTATTCACCGTTTTAAGTTAGGTTTTCATCTTTATGTACGTAATTTTGTGAAGTAAAATCAATATGTATTAGTGTCGATAGATTGAAGTTTATAGATCTCTGTACTTCAATGTACTAAATATTTATTTCTTTGCATTTATCAACTGACATGTATAAAAACAAATCTGTCAAACCAGTGGCAATTAAAAAATTGTAAGCGATAGAATTTTATGTCTATATGTGAGTCCTGTAGAAATCTCGTTTTAAGATTAATCGCGCGATATAATGCTTTTAAAAAATGGTAAAAAATATTTTTATCGTTAATATAAACGATTAATATATATTTTTTATTTCATGAAAGTTTTCCCAAACTATTACTAATTATAACCGTAAATATAATAGACAAACAGGAAAATAATCATGACAAAAATCGTATACAAAAGATAACTAAAAAAATAATAATATGCTGATAGAAAAAATACCAAAATTTATGGTTCTGTAAAATATTGAACTTTTAAACTCGGTAAAAAAAGAACAATCTCAAACCAAACAAATACACACAGTGATAATAAACAAAATATATTCATATAGATTGCAAGGTATGTAATATGTGTGAAAAATGTCTTCTTTATTAATGAAAAAATTTAAGGTGTCAAGCTAGTAATTCAGTGTGCTTACACTTAGAAAGCTCTTTCTACTTGTATGAATATTTTGTTATGTTTTATGTTTATAAAAATGTATATGAATACACATTATGTGAACAAATGAACACGGATTAAATGAATGTTTTACCATTGTTAATTGGTTTACGTTTACGACGTTTGAATATATGCGTGCGTTATGTAGAAAATAATAAGTTACAATTATTTAAAAGAATGGATGGAAATTGAGAGTATGAGTTGATATTGAATGAAATATTGCGATCAGATTATGTTACATACAGAATAAAAAGTTTATGAATTATCAGATTGTTGTGAACATCTGTATATTTTGATGTGATGGTATATTCAGTTATCAGTTATATAAAAATAAATCATAAATTCTATATTATATCGATTTATTTATATGTGTAGTGACAAAAACAATTTGGAATAAAGACCCGCAAATCGAATACTATGAATTTTTATTATTACCTTGAAAGATTTTGATAAATAAAATTTACTTAACATACACGATATTGTAGATGCTATAGCATCTCTAGATCTGATTAGAAGCATAGAAAAAATGGTTCCAGAAAATTCCGAAAACAGCGCGCTAATTACAATCTCAAAAAAAGAAATGCAAATACGCAATCATTTTTTCGGAGAGGAAATTCATGAAACCAATATTTAATTAATTTAAGTAAAAGTTACGCGTCTCATAGTTCAATCGAGCTAAATTACGGGTTTGAAAAAAATAACTTTTATAACGCAGATGAACTTTAATAAAATGGTTTCAACAAAGTTTTGGGGAGCATGCGCTTTACTTTATTTTAGAATTCAAATTGAAATTCAGAAAACTTGCACATAATTTAACCCATTAATGACCAAATTGCTTGATTTTTTTGTTGGTTTTCGCAGCGATTTTTTTTGTAGTTTGAGGCCTCCAAAAAGTTTCGTATGGACCTATTTCGTTGTAACATTTAATGTCCTTTCAGAAACTGAGCTCAAAATTTCGATTCTTTGCGTAATAAAAAAGTTATGGCTACTTATACGAAAAAAAAACGTAAAATTTTTTGCAAAAAATCAAGTTTTTGATTTTTTTTCACCATGTTACCGTTACGGAATCACGATATAAGTGTGATCAGGGGTGATCACGACTATCAAAGTATCTCAGGGAATTTTTATGGAATTTTCGAACCACTACTTCAAACAAAAAATAACTTATATTCATATAAAACATAACTCACTTTTACTCGAAAACTACTGAATTTAGAGAAAAAGTGCAAAAAACCAAAGTTTGAAAATGAGCTAAAAAATTCCATAAAAATTCTCTGAGATACCTTGATAGTCGTGATCACCCCTGATCATATTTATATCGTGATTCCCTAACGGTAACATGGTGAAAAAAAATCAAAAACTTGATTTTTTGCAAAAAATTTTACGTTTTTTTTTCGTGTAAGTAGCCATAACTTTTTTATTACGCAAAGAATCGAAATTTTGAGCTCAGTTTCTGAAAGGACATTAAATGTTACAACGAAATAGGTCCATACGAAACTTTTTGGAGGCCTCAAACTACAAAAAAAATCGCTGCAAAAACCAACAAAAAAATCAAGCAGTTTGGTCGTTAATGGGTTAAAAAGTTGGCCTTTGGAATTAGTATCATTGCTCCGAAATCGCTTGCTAACGATATGTTATCAATTCACGCATAATTTATAATACTCCGCCCTCTTTTATGAGTATGCGACGTGGTACAGACCAATTATACCATTAAAGCATGACTTCTAAGGAATTTAGCGGCGTACGCCAATTTTTTTACAATCGCACGAGCCCAGGTGGCTGATACATTTGGATATTCTGTACATAGGCACGCGAAGACTTAAACTTTCATGACAGAGAGATGGCAGCTGGTCGAAAACGGCTGCGACACTTAATATATAAGCAAAAAGCTATAAATAAATACGTCATTGAGTTTATTTTATTACAAAAGGCGTAAACAGCTCGTAAATAAATTATATTCTGTCGAATCTGTGCACGGGCTCGAGTTGGTAGTGATCACGGAAAGATGGTGATTTTTTTCATTTTTACATCTTAAATCACTCGATCGTGCAGTATACAAGATGCACACAAACATGGACGAGTCTTCTCTAATCAAAAAACGATATACCTCTAATTATATCGCAACGTTTTACGTTTACCCGTGTATGCTTATTATTGAAAAAAAAAAGAATCGCGAAGAAACGTTTGTGCAGCATAATTAAGATCGAGATCGGCATCCGCGCCGATAAGATCTCGTAATATTCTAATAAAATCGCGCTATAATTATAACTGCGCTTACGTCGCGAAGAGTGACGATAAAAACGGGATTTTTCTCCTTTAACGATGCTGTGCGTTAGCTCGCTCGAACCGCCGCTGATTACTTGCTGTTTCATCTTTCACTGCACCAGTTGCAACTCTTACGCGAACTGTGCGAGCTGGCTAGTATAGATAGAGTTTTGCGTGGATCATCGAGATTCATGATCCAATGAAAATTACCCCCACGGTTGATCGCGCCCTAAATTCGAAAAAATGCATTTCTCTTCTTCATTCTCAGCGAGACTCGTGCGCGCAACGTATAAAGTCATCATGATTTGAAATATCAAAGGGTCCATCATAATGTTTTGTGCGGCGGAAGGCCGAAGTGGTATACAGTACTGCGAGCTTTTATAGAGTGAGTTTACTCGATTGTTTATTATTTTCGTAATGCAATTCTTCTGTATTTGCTACGTTTTAAGTAAGAGTCGGTACAAATAATATGTAAAAAGCTGCTTTGGCGTGATATTTCTTCACCGATCGCGTCATCGGGTCGACTGATCGCGGACTTTCTGACGGCGACTAATTTTGCACACACACGCACACTTGCTTACTCGTCCCCACCCCAGTCATGAGATCGTAGTTGTCGCGATTCTCTGCTTTGTTGTCTGCAATTTTCACTGGTTGCGCGCAGCTTTGATATAATAAGTAGGTATAAGGTAGGTATATCTATACGTTATTATAACGCATATAGCGCGTGGTGTAGCAGTACAGTACGCTCGCGACCTGTGAAGTAGGTAACTTAGCTGTCAGTGTCAGTGTTTTTCTCCCCTTTTCCTTGCCCCAGACCCTTTAATTTCGTCCAATTTCTTGTTTGTGTTCGACGCTTGCATTGCGAGACCTTTGCTGGCCGACTCGCGTATAAGTAGGATCAGCGAGACATACAAAAGTACACAGAATTGATTTAGAGAACAAATCGACGTCGGATATGCACAATCCGCATAAGAGCTGCTAACCTCGAAACGAATCACACACAGGTACAGTCACAGTGCATTGCGTTTACTTATATTCAGAGTTCGATGAATCCTTGTTTTCTTTGTTCCGAGAAGTACGATAATCCTCGCTACATCATTACTTCCACGTAAAATGTTAATAAAAAATTGAATGATGTTTCATGTATACCGTCTACGGATCGTTATAAAAGATTGAAGAAACAAAATTTGATATAGTTCACCATAATATTACCCCGTATTATTTTTTGTCAAAGTTTGCTTTTTTAAAGAACGATTAATTGAATTGTTTTTTGAATCACTAACATCGCCCTTCATTAAAAATGCGAAGCCTAGTTTTAAAGTTTCACATCAACATCGAGGACCGATAGTCTAAATAGAATTTCACAACAATAACAACAAATAATTAATTGCTGTTCAAGTACTGCACTAGCATTGATTTAATATGCACGCATCCCATATATTATAGTACTTCACAAATGAGACAATCAAAACAGACAATCGACCGATAATAGGACTGACTATCTGCATCGTTATCATAATATCACGTGCCGTCTTTATTTTTCGCAATTAATACTTACCTCAGACTTTATTTAACACAGAGAACTGACTGATCTTGCAAATTTTTGTGTTGATTATCGGCTCAGATAATTTTCACATGCCACACGCTGTAATTGTGTAGTGTGAATTCAACGTTCGGTCTATTTAGTATCAACAATGTCGTTGCACGTATGTAATAATTATTATATAAATGCACGATACATAGATATACAAAAAAATATAATAATAAACGAGATCATTGATACGTATTTGAATTACAAAATATTGCATACAGCTATAAGCGTCAATTATGAATCTATATAAATGTGACTCACTTATATTATCTTCTCGCCAGGTCAACAAATAGACTCTCGTACTTTAATCAAGATTCGCATGACAGTTTTGTTCTGTGCCCAACGCGCTACGTTGAGTTCTGCTCGTCGGAATTGCGCCACGATTGTTTTGCTCGCGCGCGATGGACGAATCGCCCGCATCACCCATCGAAGAGGAGCTCAATGCTGCTGATGTCTTCTCTCCTGCTCAAGATGCGGAGCTAATGGACCATGAAGAACTCGAACAAAAATCACTGGAACGTGAACAACCGGAATCCACTGCATCAGCCATCGAACGGACGATCGACGGCGATGACAACGAGAGAAGTGACTCGTCCTCTTTTAGCAAACAAGAGGAACGAAGTGACGAACAAAGTGAAAATTTACCAAATGTAACAATTGAGTATGATAATGCGGAGATTGATTGGTCTTATATGCCAGATACCGTTCTACTCAGTATCTTTCAGTATCTAAGTCCTAAGGAGTTGCTTACTTCTGGTGAGGTATGCATGTCTTGGAACAGAGTTTCAAGAGATGAAATGTTATGGAAAAGGCTCTTCTATCATACATACAAAGTTGACCCTAATGTTGGAATAATGCCAGGTACATTAACATTAAATTGCATTAAATTTAAATTGAACTTATTAATTATGAGAAGCTTTTTCAAAATTATTCTAAAAAAATTGAACAAGAAATGTATACCAAAGCTCAATTTTTAAATTTTCAGGAAAAACATCTTGGTTGGGCGAATTTAAACGTTTATCCTACCACATACCTTTATTGGAAACAGAAACTTTGAGAGAGCATTGTCATCAAGTATTACACGTTAGTTTTTCTCACAATGGTAAAATGTTTGCAACTTGTTCCAAAGATGGATATATTTTGGTAAGTGTATAAACAACTTTTTTCAACCATTTTTTAACTTCAAGAAGTTCATTTTAACCATATTGAAGGTATGGAATAGTCAACATCCAGTGTCAATCAAATATCATCATGATATGAAATCTTTTAGTTGGAAATATACACAATTTTCTCAGTTTAATACCTCTGATACTTTGCTATTGGTATCTGGTGTTCACTTTGGTACTCCCCACAGTACATCTGGTGAAATTGCTGTGTTTAGATTAGCAGGTAAATGTATACATGGATTACAATATGGTATATTTTAACAATGCTAAGTTTCATTGCTAACTATACCACTGTAATTGTGCCAAAAGAACTAGACCATCTAAAAATGCTTCAAAGTTCATGATCAAATGATTCATAGTTATGAATATAGTACTGGCTTTCATTGAGATTTTCAAAAATAGTCGTTTTATTTTGGCATTATAAATTAAAATTTAAAATATCTGTTACTACTTAATACAACTTTAAATGTTTTATTGATCAAAAAATTTATATAAAAATAAACACTAGTGATTGGTTTTGTTTATCAGAGGATTTTGAACTTCAATGCCGAGTAGTAAATAAACCATATGATATCTTTGGAACTTGGTACAGTGAAAGATATCTTCTGAGTGGAGGACTTCATTGGTTAGCACATTTAGTAAGTACAAGTATATTGTGGTTAAACAAAGCCAACCAAGAAACAGGAAGTGAGCATGTTCCAATTATGAATCAATTATACAGGTAGAAAATCTTTTATATACTTTGTTTTTTGATTGATAGTTTAAAATGCTCACAATGATTTTATTTAATCAAAGATTTTACAATGGAAATGCATCTTCTATAAGAGCAGTTATGGTAGCAAATTGTTTGTCACCAATTGAAACAGACAATGATGATCATAGTGAAGCATCATCTACATCAAATCCTTCAGAAGAAAAAGGTAATCCAGTAAGCCATAGGGATATATCTTTAGCTTCTACTAGCCAAGAAAGAAAAAGAGAAGAACCAGAAGTTTTACATCATGCGTCATCACGCCTGCAGTAATATTGATTCTAATGAATTTAAGAATTAGTAAAATGTACATGAGATATTTAACTGAAAGAATATTTTTATTTTAGGTACAGTACCCTGGAAGGTGGATTTATGAACTGGAAAAAACTTGGTGATGGATTTGAGTATGCCAGCCCAATTAGATACAGTCAAGAGTATAGAGAAGTTGAAATGGAAAAAGAAAATGCAGATAGTGATAGTGATATTGAATCTAGTCCACAAGATGAAGAAGAAAGTGAGGAAGAAGGTATAATGAAGGGAATAATAATGGTTTGAATGTTAAATTAATTTTCATTAATTGTGTCTATTTATACAATTTTCAAGATTCACTATCTGCAGATGAGTGCGATGATTCAGATGATTTAGCTGATTGCCCTGAAAAATTCCTCATATTTACAACAGGTTCTAAAACATATACACCACATCAAGTTGGTTTTAAAAGAATAAAACCTGTCACTTTTCCAAGAAGGCTTGATCCTGGACCATCTCTTCAAGAACGTTTAGCTCAAAGACATAGAGAACGCGAAATGCAAAATAATGGTTCCTTTAGGCCTGAACCAAATTGGTTGGATTACAATTCTGTTGCAGATAAATTTGATAAAATAGATCATTTAATTGACTTACACGGCCACATTATTGGAATGGGTCTTTCTCCAGATCATAGGTTTGTGAAACATGCTTATTATTATAAAATTTAAAAATTTCAACTAAATTTTTGAAATTTTAGGTATCTATACATCAATTCACGTCCATGGCCTAGAGGATATGTAATTACAAATCCTCTGCAACCACCACCAATAGCTCAAGAAATAGATATTCACGTTATTGATTTAGTAACATTAAAACAAGTTGGCACAATGCTGAGAGCTCACAAAGCTTATACACCAAACAACGAATGTTTTTTTATATTCTTAGACGTTTGTAATGAGTATGTTGCAAGGTAATGAAAATTGGATTATATTAAGTATATTAGGCAAAAAGTTTTAAAAAATATTTTATCATCAGTGGAGCTGAAGATAAACATGGTTATTTATGGGACAGACATTATGGGGTATGTTTATCAAAATATCCTCATTCAGATGTAGTAAATTCCGTTGCTTTCAATCCTCGAGATCCTGAGATGCTAGTCACTACAAGTGATGATTATACCATAAGAGTTTGGAGAAGTAGATCAATGGTTAAACAACTTGGTCTCGATGAAAAAAATTATAGAAGAGGAATGGAAGTGAGAAAACGCCGGAAATATCACACAAGCAATTGCAATGTTGACTGATTGAAAACCATTCAATTTCCAATTTAAAATTCTTCTTTTACTTATTGCATAATTTTAAAACTCAGTTGGAGAAGAATTTTAAATAGGAAATTGAATGGTGAAGACTTTATTTAATAATGATTTTTATTTATATATAATAGGGTAGTCAGACCAATCAATGACCGGGTACCAGTGAATGACCATTTTGGAAAATATCACATGAAAAACAATTAAAAATATATTTTTATGGGCGTTATTCAATTCTTTAGTGAAAGATGCATCTTGTTTTCTATGTTCGATCATAATTCAACGAGGAAAAACGATAATTATTGCACATCCAAAAGTGGTCATTTACTGGTCGAAAGCGGTCAATCACTGGTATAAGTACCCTATAAAAGTATTGATTAATCAGTGTCATGAAAAATGCAACGGTCACTACTTTGAATACAGGCTATAATTATAATTTATATTTATATATTTATGAGACAAAAGTACCAATCAAATAGTTCTTAGGTACTAAAACTGGTGGATGAAAAATCTAATTGGAATACACTAAAACACATACCTATAAAAGTGACTACTCTAATGCCATGACAACAATATTCTATTTTCAAATTTTGTAGGACAGTGAAAAGGAATGCATAATACTTTGTAATACTCAGAAGAAAATATTTTATTGAATGTAAATTTTATGAAAGGTTGCAAAGTCAATAAGTATTTTAAAGTTATCTATCAAACTGATTATAGTCAAAATATTTTTACTTATGGTGTTTCTTAATAGCTTGAGGTTTGCCTAAATAAATGAATAATGTTGTAGATGGTTCATAAAAATCAAGAATAAAACATGAAAACCCTTTTTAAATGTAGTATTCATTGGTATGATCAATTTCAAGTGCAATATTGTATACTCATACTCTTTTAAGTAACATGTCTATTTATTCTTACAAACAAATAGAATATTTTTATCTTACTTTTGTACTTTTGTACTTTTTATGTTTAACCTTTATTACCTACGAACATTACCTTTAGGAATCCATTTTCTTTTCTAATAGATAATCTACTTATTTGATTTTTTGGTTCTGCTCATATTTATTTCAAAAATTTTAGTTTATTATTTTAACTAGTAGTGTAATATTGCTTAGGCAAGTTTCTTTATAATAATACATTTTATTTAATTTTAGATGTTTATATGAGTGATTAATTTTAGATGATAGGGATTTTTGGTACAATTTCAAAGCTTTCAATAAAAAAAATTCAGTAATGGATAAGAAAACATAATTATGCTTCACTGTTTAATGAAATAAATTATTTTCTACGCATAAATGAACAATTTTAAACATACATGTGTGTATACATGTGTATACAAATACATATATTTACATATAGATCTTTATGTATGCACTTATATAAATCACAGTCAAACACACTTGCCTTCAAATTAACAATTAGGTTTTGTTTCTCAAACACAGACATTGAGTTAGAATTTTAACAGCAGTTTCCCAATTTTAAGCTGAACCTCCTGTAGAAATAGGTTCTGCAAATATAAATATAATATAATTATGTCAACAAAAAAATATATTTGAATTGATTCATGATAAAATTTTACCTGGATGCGATGAAATTGTTTCACTAGGAGGTTCGTCTGAATTATGAGTTGGTTTTTTATGTGCATCTTTACTTCCATGACAATGTTCACATTCATCATCGCTATCTTCTGAGCTGCTCTCACCAAACTTTTTAGGTTTTTCATAGATGCAACAGCCTAAGAATTACATTCAATTATTATTGAATTAATGAAGTATTTTTGTTAAAAATAAATTTGCAACAAGTTAAATTACACTTTGATTTTTTTTTGTTCATGTGTTCATTATCTACGGTGCCTTGTGTCCATTTGACTTTTTTGTCTGATTTTGGTTTTTTAAGACATAATCTTAGTGTTTGACACTCCTAAAATGAAAAATCCAAAACTTATGATTATTGGAGTAAGAAAAAGAGTTTATGATAAGGTGTTAAATAATATTAAAAATATATCAAAATTTTTGATACGATTTGTTTTATTTATAAAAATATTATAAAAATATTACATGATTAACACATATAAAAATTGAAGTGTATATAAATAGTTTTATTATAATGTTGATATATAATTATAGGATAATATTTTTATCTCTCAAATTATTTATAGTATCCTCTGAATAATTTAAAATAGTCTTTAAAATTTCATGAGTATGATGACCTAATATTGGAGGAGGTAACCTCACATCGTTCTTTGCATAAGAATATTTAACAGCCGGACCCACAATTTTTATTTTACCAATTGTTGGATGATCCATTTCTCTTACAAGTTTCACATGTTGTACATGAGGATCTTCAAAAACCTGTATTTGATTATAAAATTGAAATTAACTTCTATTATTACACATTTAAATTCCCTTGTTTGGAAATAAGTTGCTTACCTCTTTAATAGTATTAATTTTTCCATATGGAAACGATGCTCCTTGAAAAATTTCATTCCATTCTTTATTAGTTTTTTCCTTGAATATTTTACGTAATATTAACAGCAACTCATCTCTATTTTTTACTCTGTTCGTATTTGATTGAAACCTTTCATCATTCTGTAATTCTGCAATTTCTAATTTTTCTAGAAGATTTTTAAATTGCAAATCACTGCCAGCACCTACAGTCATAAATCCATCTTTTGTTTTAAAAGCTTCATAAGGAACAATACTTTCATGTTCGGAACCCCATCTTTTAGCTTCCTTCCCAGCATTAAGATAGTTAGAACCAATATTTATCAAACTAGCAACTTGGGTTGATAAAAGATCGCATTGAATCCATTGTCCTTCTTTAGTTTTCATTCTCTGTAAAAGAGCTGCCATAATTGCACCATGAGCATACAGTCCAGTAGCAATATCAGTGACAGCTACTCCTGCTTTACAGGGAGAACCATCTTTTGGACCTTTAAATACATTAGAGCAATAATTTTGAAAATAATTCTTTAACTAATAATAATTAAAAAAACATTAATAATTTTTCATAAAATATGTATAATTACCCGTTATGTGCATAAGACCTCCAAGTGATGATGCAATGACATCATATCCTGGCTTTTTGGCATAGGGACCTTCTGACCCATACCCGGTAAGAGAACAATAAATTAAATGTGGTGCTACATGTTTTATGTGATCATATCCGTAACCCATTTTGCTCAATGTCCCAGGAATGTAATTTTCAACCAAAATATCACATTTTTTTGCTAGATCGTAAATAATATCTTTTCCTTTTTTCAAATCAACGCAAATACTTTTTTTATTGCGATTAACACTCAGAAAATAAGCTGCTTCTTTTGCATCTCCTAAAAACGGAGGGCCCCAGTTTCTAGACTCATCTCCACTACCAGGTTTTTCAATTTTAAAAATTTCTGCACCCAAGTCTCCTAATAACATAGTGCAATATGGGCCAGCTATTATTCTAGTAAGATCCAAGACTCTTATACCACTGAGAGGTGATCGATCATCATCTTTATTGGTTGAGTACGTTCTTATCCAATTTATACTAATTTTTGTTGGTGTACATTTGCGAATTGGCATTAAATACATTTTTATATCACGTAGTAGCAGCAAAAATGTTTGATCAATCACTGTATTTAAAAAAATGTCGCTTTTACAAGTTAAAAATTGTTGAAAGAATAATCATTACAAAATTAACGATTATTGCAATGTGTTCACCCTATTTAATTCTCGCTAACTTGCACGCGAACCACGGCAATCACCGTAAAGATTATATCTTAGTGTTTGAAAAGCGAGATAGATTAATTTTTTTTATGTAAATATAAGTATAAGATAGTGTGCGTTAGTACCTGTGTCTCGCCATCGACGACAGTCTCAGTTTGCGAAGACGACGATTGAGCCGACATAACTAGTCTCTCCATTAAATTTCGTTAGTTTGTTAACTGTTCCCTCGGTAATAGGTGAGATCCACGCACCAATTGTAGTTCTTGACAAAACAAGCGATGTCACACAGAAATACTTAATTGTCCGCGATTAAATTGCAGTCATAACACACAAGTGGATACTATAATAACAACGGATGCGCGACAAGGTGCGGTTAGAACATTAGCGCAATGAAAATTTATGTAGGTATAGCTATATGTACGGACATAATATATAGATAAGCGCGGGCAACGTTGAATCAAAGTCAAACGCACAGACAGAAACACGTAGAGTGAGTCTGGATGAATGTTTCACTCTGAGCTGCGCAAAGCTTAAGTATATATTAGATTTATCTAACTAATAGCTTAGATGAAAATTAGCACGTTATTCGTATGAGCAAAACAATATTGTCCCGTCAAATTAAATCGAAAATTTGAGCCAAGTAGAATTTAAATAGTATATTACGTGCTTAGGGAGCAAAAAATTGGAAATTCCAGAGCATGTGTGTAATTATCGGCCAAGGCGAAGTCGAGATTTTCTAAATAAAACAAATTATTAATTAAAATTTGCTTAATAAATTTATTAACGGTTTACAAGGTAATAATGGTAAAAATCTCCATAATTGATATGTGATATGTAGTGTACTAAACTATATTATCTTTGAGTATGCTTCGTAGCTCAGACCCCAAAGCATCCCAGAGGATCGCATTCTTTAGGTCAAGATATAGGGTAAACCAGCCAGTTACCAGACACTGCTAGTTTTCGGACACTTTCAACTTTGAGTTAGAATAATAAGAGAACGCTTACTTCTAGCGAGGCGCGGTTTTTTTTAATGAATTCAGCATACAATTTTCTTCAAAATGACATAGTTTAATAAAAGATTGGTTCATTATATCATTTATAATTTAGTTAGATTTGCAGGCTACTTTAACAATGTATGATAAATTGCCAAAATTTACGAAAATCCTTTAGTAAGTGGTTTTCGTAAATCGGACTTAATTACTTGAAATGTTAATTATTCATAAAAAAAAAACTATTGGAGCATGTTCAGAAGCCTTTTTTCAACAATTTATCATAGTTTTATTATTTTCAACGGGTCAAATTGAATAAAAATTTTGGTGTCCGGTTATTGACCGAAGAAAATAAAGAAAATTTAGTTTTCGGACAGGTGTCCCAAAACTAGATTTAATGATTATTCTAATATGCTAGTTATCGGACACCCCGCAAAAAGTTTTTATATTCGTTCTCCATCCATATCCTATATAACATAAAATTTTTCGGAAAGATGATTTTTTTATAATGTAAGAAAATTGTAAGAAAATGAAGTACAAATTATTGTTAAAAATTTTATTATTCATCAGTTTATTTTACAAAGATCGCTAGAAACTTAAAATCATTTACTTCATTAGAATTTTGTACATATTCAATTATTTTTTAAGAATTCGTAAAAAGTAAACCAATGTGTGCATTTGTAAAAAAAATTGTTTTAAATTTATATTTTATCGAGAAATTTTATTCTGAAAGTTTTAATAAAAACATGAATAACAAATTGTAATATACAATGGTTTTTTGAACTTTTGCAGTGACTCATAAGTTAATATAAATTAGTTATTGTTCATTTTGAAAACATAAGTAACAAAAATCGTAAATTATGCGTTTGGAAAATCTATTATTGTACTTTACTCCACTTCTAATCAACTCAGATTCTCAAAAAGTACTACACCTTATAATAAAGTTATATTCAGTTTTAAGCCCCAATTTAAATTACTACAGATTTTAAAACTGACGTAGGAGAAGAACCATTAGAAAAAAAATTAAAAGGGAAATCATTCATGAATTCGAAAAGCCGAAAAAAGAAGGATCGAGAGAGAGAAAAAAAGTTGTAAAATTAAATTTGTAAATAATTTTTTATTGTTAATAACATAATAAAATGATTCAGTATATAATGTTTTAGCCTTTCTAGTTTATTAATTTCATTTCTATTATTCACATGAACATTACTATTGATTTACAACCTAACTTTTAGGGTGTCCGAAAACTAACATTTTCGGGTTTTTTTAGAAATTCCTCTTACAATAGCTGAAAAAATTATTTTAGGTAAAAATAAACATATGCATTAGAAAGAGCAGAAAATTTCCTAAAAGATTGTATATTCAAAAAAAATTTTTTATCAAACGAGTAATCTCCCCCAATCGATTATAATAGGAAATTTCCTTAAGTGTCCGATAACTAGCTGGTTTACCCTATGCTTTTCATTAAAAAATTACGTATAGCTTCATAACCACACCTCCCGTTATGGGATAGCATTAAAAGGGAATGAAAAATCTCAAAATTTTCGTTTTTCATCGTTTTTTAAATGTGCTTAGAAAACGGTTGGATTGATCTATCGACCTCTGTGATATCTCATTTGAAAGGTATTTATGTTACCTTTAAATCGCCGGACTTAAAATTTAAATCAGTTGAAAAATGACGGAGATACGGCTATTAAAAGATGTACTAAATACGAAAAGTACGACCGTTTTTGCAAAATTTGGATAGGCTGTAACTTAAGTATGTTATAATGAATCTTGCAGGAGTTTTAAAAAATGCAATAGAAAAGGAAAGAAAAATCCTACTCCAACACTGAATGAAAAAGTTTAAATTTTAATCACCTTTCCCCCCTTAATGGAGAAATATCTAATCTCTTTAATGTGATAAAATATTTATAAAAGCCTAATAAGCCAACGACCTGCTGCATTAATAAGGATAAGGAAAAGTTTTGTTGTTTTATTGCAATTCGAATGTATAGTAGAATCGAGCTACAAGTAACATAATCGTTTAATTTCCGTATATAAATATATTTTGTTGCTAACGCTTTTATTCATCATATAATATGTGAATTTTCGCACATCGATGCCTCTAGCGTAGCTTCTTAGATTTGCATAAGAACATAAGACAATTGCCAATTGAAGTAGCTTTACACCGCAGATCGATAAAAAAAAAGCGAACGGCATAAGTATTACAAGTTTATTATTATTCGTGAACGATGCAGCCTGTATATAGGTATACGTAGTAGCTATCATAAAATAAGCGAACGAGTTGATGTCAAGCGCGCGGCAGAAAATCGCGACTCGGTGCAGAGCAGAGCCCCCCTCAAGGCCCTCTCCTTGCGCGCGGCATTCTCGCGATCCGACCCTCTTTTTACCTTCGCGAGCTCTTGCTCGGACTTATACATACATTATACATTTTGTTCTCGAGCATCAGGTCATTTTCTACTATTATACTGTATAGTAGGTATATGCATATTACAACGCGTCGCCCTGCATGGCACTCCGCGTACTAAAAAACATACAATTACCACTCATGCATGAACATTGTAGCGACTGCTGCAAGTATACAGAGCCACTACTGTCAGACATAAGCTGTACAGACACAATAATTATAAAGGGACTATAACATGATATTTGCAGCCACTCTTTAGCGTGCGTTATCGACTGGAGATCGCCAACTCAACAGTTAACAATAAGTAGATATAATCCTAATTCGCATGATAATCAGTCGATTATCGGTTTCGAGTGTTCCGACGAATGAGGGATTATATCGTTTTTTCTAGCTTCTTACTTGTGACGATGCGCCACTGCACCGACATTATCGTGTAACAATTAGCATCAGGTAGCACATAAGTGTCGTACCTTCTTATTCGAAATTCGAGTGTTACGCCCCTTTAAAAAAGCCGCGTGCGCGTAATTCACATAAATAAATCTCACAGCGCGTGGTTCTGACAGTTCTGCAGACGGCGATTGACGTGTGCCATAATGATAGTTTCACGCAATCGTGACGAGATTTCATGTTCATATAATTAATTATCTCCATAAAAAACGGATGGGTTTAGACCCTAGTCATAAATCACATATATATGTGACATAAATACATAGTGTTTTACGGCGTTAGTAAATAGTGCCGAGTCATTTATTAACGGACGCTAATGGAATGGAGTTTAGTCGCTGCGATAAATGCATTTAGCGATTGAATCCCTTTTTACGTACTATTTGTTTTATTACCGTTACACCAAGAGAGCTCGATGATATCAAGTTTTTGCCTGAACTGTTAGTATATGCAGCATCTATTCTTTTTCACATTAGAAAAAAGAATTTTGTATAGTCATAACCTCAATATGTTATGATTACTTGGTTGCGTTCGATAATTTAACGTGAGAAAAAATCTCGCCGCTCAATATTGCGAAGATCTACCAGACTCACGCCTAGAGAAAATCAATTTTATCAATTATGCACTTTGTGCAGTTGCGAAGTAGAAGCAGAAAAAACAGCATCAAGTGTAGAACTACGGTATTCGGTGCAAGTCAAGCCAAAATATCTAAGGACAAAAGCTGTGGTACGTGCATCCATGCAATATATGTTGTACATGCTACCACACACTATACAATAAGAAGAGTGTGTAGCGATTTCAAGATTGTGCGCGCGGGGGTGTTTTAGACTCCCCCACGAGCTGATGTCAGCCAGTAGTCGGCGCGTTTACCGGGACTGCTGCGGCAACGGGATCGAGCTTACTGAGACGAGCCACGACCGGGGCACGACCCACGAGTTCGTTCTAAGAAGGTGCAGCAGCAGTGCAGACCAACCCGCGTACAATCGTCGCCGTCTTTTACGCTGGGCTGTTAAATTTCTCGGACTTGGCTGTCTTGGCGTATTTTGCTGCGCGATTCCCACGCTGCTCGCTCTGCTAGTTTGCATCGTCGTCAGTCTGATTGTACTTATCAAGACTTTGGCCCGCGAACCTATTCGTAAGTTTTATCTATATCATACAAGGCCTTCTAATTTAATACGTTATTTTCTCATTCATCTCGCCGATTTTTCTATTCACGCGATATCCTTGTCATTCCAATCCGTGTGGCCGATCAAGAGCATATTCTATATCTTTGTTGCAAATATTTACAAATACACAATCCCGTGTACTAGTTCTTACCTATATCGACCGTATCTAAAGGTATAATGGCCTGCGTAACATGTTTGCATTTTTATACTTCGATCATATTAGTTAGATATCTTTAAGTGTTTAGTAAGGGCTGCTATAAACTTTTTTTTTTAATGCTGTTTACTAGGATACTACTCACATGCTTTGTTGTACAAAACGTAGGTGTTTGAGGATTTGAACTGATAACTATTTGTGTGTTTGAATAATTTTAATTGGGAAAATGTGATTGTTTCAGTGAACATATTGTTTTTACAAGAATAAATTAATTGTAAAACGCAAGAATGAGAAAATATTTTTAATTTTTATTTTTAATTATTTTTAATTATTTTTAATTTTAATTTTTAATTTTTATTTTTAATTATTTTTAATTATTTTTAATTTTTATTTTTAATACATTTTACTTATATTGTTATAAATTGTATCAATTTATTGAAATTTCTTTAAGACTATCCAACATAACGATGTTTTTTTTTCAGATACTTTACTTGTTGTCGAATCTGTCGGGGTACACATAATAAACCCTAAATCTATATTTAGTGACGTGGAGGAGTATTTGCCATGGAAAACCATTGATAATATTTTTATCAATGAAGTCATATCTGAAGTAAATCATTTGTATTTATATTTTTCATCTTCACAATTTCTAGATTGCAATTGACCAATTCATCTTTATTTTCATGCAGCAAAAAGTTTTGTATTACTTGACATTCATTGTAAGAAAACTTGATAACAATGGTAAAAATAGCATAAGATTGATCCCTTTGTTTTGTGATCTAAAACCTGAAAGAAAATGCCTGGAATACATGTACACACTCTTGGCAAATTGCATTGGGAAGACAAAGACAATGAAGCTGCTTTAACAGTTCCTGGATCATATTGGTTTTGTAGGAAAAACAGCATTTATAAATTTACATTCAAATTTCATAAATCAGTGAGGTATATAAAGACATAATTGAAGTTTCAAATAGGTAAATTTAAAATAGATAAAACTGTGAGTAATAGACATATTTTTTCAGAAACAATGTACAATTTTCTCATAGTAAAGAGTTAATGAAAATAGTTAGAAGAGTATTAAAAAAACCACCAAAACAAGGACAACATTTTAGCACAAAAAATTTAATAGTTATTTACAGTATCCTTTAAAAAATGATACAATCTGTTTTATATTCAATGACCAAACCAGCTCAACAGTATAATTTTTAATCCTGTTCACTAAAATGTATATTTTTCTAAAAGACTCCATGGCAACCTTTATTTTGATGAACTTGAAGTCATGATAGAGCCTTTCAGAGAAATATTAAAAAAAGGTTTCAGAATACACGATTGAAAATTTTATCTATGGGCTGGCTTTGCCACTTACTGGGAAAATACTTCATCAGATTTAAACATTTATAATTTTAAATAGATTCCTTAATTTAAGTGTCTAATTCAGATCATGCAACATGGACTCGACAAGATAGAATATTTGCTGTGATGAAATTTCGTGATAGGCCAGATGCTAGTGCATTTTCTTACGTCATTATACTAACTGTCAAAATTGTAAATCAACTTCGATCTTCAGGGCCAATTTTAAATGAAGCTTCCAATCAAAGGTTGAATGAATGTACTTCTAAAGTTGGATCAGTTCTGAGAAACTCAACATTTGAAAAGGAAAAAGATAAAACAGAAATTCCTGTTACATCAATGTTAACTAATGGTCATTCAAATTTACTATATAAAAATTTGAATAGACCACAGGCTTCACAAAAAACTTACACATGTTTGAAAGCATTTACATCGTCTGATGCTATTGAGCTTGGTGCAACTTCAAGTTGGATCATAAGGTCAATGAATTTCTTAAATTGTCTTTCTAAACAAAGTGTAAAAACAAAAACACACTTTAAATTAGTAAAATAGAAAAATCTATTAAAAATCAACTTTTTCTTGAGCTGTTAATCAGAATTTATTTTTGATTTTCCCCTACGTTCCTTAATTTTTCATGAGTTTTCACAAAGTATTGTTGATTTAGTATTCTCATAAATGTTTTTCTTTACGTTGCATTTATGATTTCTACTAATAAACATCTTATCAAAGCATGAGTACTTATTGGTGGGGTTTATTACATATAATTTAAATTGCACTTAATTTTTTAGCGATATTACATTTGTTAAACATAAAATCGAATGATTACATGTAGAATAGCTAATAATTAATATAGTAAATGGTAAAATGTAAACAGTAATAGTGAGAAATACTGTAACATAATCATCCATAGGACTTAAAGCAATAGTAGTAGTGTAAAATTGTAGTAGAGAATGTTCAATAATATCTTATTTACTGTTATACAGTGGTAGAGATGACGATAAAAACGACAAGATGAAACGCCTAAATTCAGGAATAATGGATTGCAGTAAGCACAATGAAGACTTGGAATCACTACCAACGACGTCAAAACATGATTCCGAGCTTGATTTTGTTGCTGATGAAGAAAACAGTAATAGTTCCAGTTCAGATTCTGCAGATCTTCCTTACCAGTATCTCATTGAAAGAGATATTGAACGTGAAATAGCCAATTCAAAAGCAAAAAGTAAAAGACAAGTTAGTGAGTCATCTGTTGTCAGCGAATCATTAGTTGTCACCGAAGTAGACACAAAGTCACCGAAATGTTCATCATCTCGAAGATCCAGTGCTTCTTGCTCATCGGTATCTCGTCAAGATTTCAAAGAAGAGCTTTCTCCAGACCTAGCGAATCTTCGATCGTCTGACATTACCGATCTTGTCATGAAAGGCCTTATGTTCACAATTAGACAGGATGAGAATGCTGTCATTGTTGTGGAAGAAAAAACTAAACTCGAACTTGATGAAGTTCTTGAGAACTCGGAAAAGGTTGAAACCGAAGAAGGAGACCCTTGTCTATTAAACTCAAGTTTACTGCGACTTGAGAAAATGATAACGCGAATGAAAGCACCTGCAGTTACTTCGCCTAAAGAAAATGAAATGCATCAAAATGGTCTGGTCTCATATTTGGATTCAACCAGTAGCAACAATGACATGGCCACCAAAAAACTTGATAAAACAAAAAATGGTTTGGACTGGCCTCCATTTTTCTTGAATGAAGAAAATTCCGACTCAGAGTTAAAAAAAAATAGACTTATCATTGGCAGTGCACACAATTTTTTTTATAATAATGAATTAACTCAAGATGAAGATTTTATACTCAGTTTAAGTGACGAGGAAAATGAAGTTGAAGATTCGCTAAAAGTTTCTGTACATCCTTCGTATTTAAATGATATCCTTGATGCCAAGACTCCGGCTTCATCCAATTTACCTGATTTGATATCACAAAAAACAAATCTAGATGATGGAGTACCCATGAAAAAGAAAAAAGGATCTAATATTCAAGTTGAATATGATGGTTCATTAAAAATCCCTAAAATAATCTCAAATCAAATAATTTCTGATGATCAATTACCTGAAATGTTATTAAAAACACTAAAAACTAAAAATTCTCCCGAAAATCAAGAGAATAATGAATTAATCAAGTCATTTTCTAATAAAATTATTGCTGAAAGAGGTAAAGAGCCGCAAAATGAAAAGGACTTTAATAAGATATCAAATAATCATAATCAAAATAGTTACTTTTCTGAAGTTGATTCGTTTTATGCAATCAGAAGAACACGTTCAAACGCTAGAATGTTGGGTATATCGTCGTCGTCTTCGTCGTCGTTGTTATCTTCACATCTAAACTTAACTCATCGACTTACATCAAAGTCAAAAATGCAGAAAAATTTCACACAAAAAGAAGTTGATAAAATAAAAAATTTTTCTAATATCAATGAAAACCTGAAAATCAAACAAAAAAGTGGGGATAGTGATCAGAACATGGTAAAAATAATCAAACCCAGTGAATTTAAACGAAATTCTATCATTAATGTTCCCAAATTGATATGGGATTTGAACTTTACTCCAAAAGTAGTAATTGAGCGTTTAGATCCTTCTAAACTTATGAAAAAACAAATTTGAATTTATAAAAATAGAAATTGTACATTTTAATACGCATAGTTTACATTACATAATGTAACTAATTTATTTACATAATTGTAGATGTATACTAAAACTAGCACTTCGTTATTAACAAAGATGTCGCTAGTCAATTGCAATGATTTTTGATTCAAATTTTTTTACTATATTGAATTATAATTGTTATAGATGTCCATTATAAATACTCTAAAAATTAAAGTTATCAAAATGACATTATTGATGTATATAATTGTGAAAAATATAAAACAATGTAAATTTTAAAAAGCAGTGTGAACTTCCATTGAAATACATTTCTCATTTATGAATGTATATCATGTTTTACTAAATAACAAACAAGAATTATGAGTAGATCTATGAAATTTTCAATTTAATAAGTTTTTAATTATTATTCACACAATTAAAAAACATTTCGCTTTTATTGTTTTCCTCTGCAAAGATTTTTTTGTGTAAAAGATCATTTGAAGAATTGACTGAGAAATTGGAAAAATTTGCTTAATGAAACTCAATTGTTGTCCTTTTTTCCATTTATCAACCTACTGAATTAGGTGCTTATTTTAAAACATTTGCATAACTTGTTCATATTTATTTGACACTTCATTTAAATGTCAAAACGAGTTAATTACTTCTCAAAAAAAGCAGTGATCATATAACAATTATCTTGAAAAGAAATGCTGCTAAACTTCAAAATAATTCGCAGTTACTTTAAATGATTCATACATTTTTTCTATTTTCCATATAAAATTATAAAACAATCGTTTTCGTTGTCCCGACCTAGATTCGTTCAATTTTCAAAAAATGTCGAGCTCGTTGCAGCAGAGCCACAACAATGCACGCAATTATCTTGCGTATTCGTATTCAGTCAACTTCGAGAGCCCATTTGTTTAAACACTGCGTGCGAGAGCATGTTTGTATATCGGGAAGCGACATAAACTTACCAGTTCAGTGCGGTATATTGCTTACATACAATATGAGCAGTGTGCAATGCAACACTGCTGACTGCAGTCAACTCAGAGTAGACAGCCGCAATCTGGATGCATGCTCTAGTGCGGCTACTTATTTTATACGTCTACCTCTATAACTCACAATATAGCTTACTCGCTCAATGCAGTGTATTATTAGTTTTTATTTGAAGTTGAAATAATCCTAAAATATTGTGTGTACAACATAGCGTAAAACGCGTCTGAAGTTGTTGAAAAACTATTTGTCAAAAAATTGTTTGACATCGTCTAACGCTAAATTTATACAATCAACCGAACTCAATTTTTTGAATTTTGATTATTACTTCGTCGGCGCTATTCATTATTATTACAATGAGAACGAATTTAACTATTTTTGTCGGGAAAGAGATGACTTTTCGCAAAATTCTTCGCTTTTCGAACATTATATAACGGAGGTTATACCAAAGTTAAAGATATTTGTTCAGAAGATAACAAAGGTATTAACGTTTTGCAGATAGTCAAAACAATTTTGTGATTTGATTGTTTTTAAAAAACAGGACACATGTTTCGTCAAGAAAATTATGCCAAATCTAAGAAAGATGAAACAAATCGCTATAATTTTAATTGGACTGCTTTTAGGTATTTTTAATGTTATTTTCTAAAAAGTAATATGATGTAATTAACAACATTTTAAATCAGTTTTAGGTTTATACAAAAGCTTAGTAAAAACAGAAGATGACAATGACTTTCATGCAGACCAAAAAAGAGTACCTAATGTTCACTTTCAAAACAGTTTGAGAATAGCTAACAATGAAGAAACAAGTGAAATTGAAATTAATAATTTACAAGAAGCCAAAAATAAAATTAAAGAACTTGAAAAGAAATTACAGTTAATAGAAACTAAACTAAATAATGTAGTCAACAAAAATTTTCCAATTGTCAAGTTCCTAAACTATAAAAATAGAAAACGTATTCTAGTAACTGGTGGCGCTGGATTTGTAGGCTCACATTTAGTGGATCGTTTGATGTTAGCTGGTCATGAAGTTATTGTTGTTGATAATTTTTTTACTGGACGTAAGAGAAATGTAGAACATTGGATTGGGCATGAAAATTTTGAAATGGTTCATCATGATGTTGTTAGGCCTTTGTATGTAGAAGTAGATGAAATTTATCATCTTGCCAGTCCAGCTAGCCCACCGCATTATATGTTGAATCCTGTCAAAACTATAAAGACTAATACGTTAGGGACCATAAACATGTTAGGTAAATTTTCTATTCTCGTTAAATTATTGTTTCTTTTCAAATTTGGAATCTTATTGCAGGTCTTGCCAAAAGAGTCGGAGCTAGAGTATTAATAGCAAGTACATCAGAAGTTTATGGAGATCCTGAAGAACATCCTCAATCTGAAACTTACTGGGGACACGTTAATCCTATTGGTAATAACAATTACATATTTAAAATGCTAATCAACTATTAAATTCCTTGGTAAAACTGTTATTTTTAGGTCCCAGAGCTTGTTACGACGAAGGGAAACGAGTTGCAGAAACATTAAGTTATGCATATCAACGCCAAGAAAATATAGCTGTCAGAGTAGCTAGAATTTTCAATACTTATGGACCTAGAATGCATATGAATGATGGAAGAGTTGTATCAAATTTCATTCTACAAGCTCTACAAAATCATTCTATTACCATTTATGGTGATGGAAAACAAACTAGATCTTTCCAGTATGTTTCCGATCTAGTTGACGGATTGATTGCTCTAATGGCATCAAATTACACACAACCAATAAACATTGGAAATCCTGTAGAACATACAATTGAAGGTACAGGGCTTTCACTTTTACATACTTCTTAATAATCTATATTATTGTTAATCAAAATTTTTTTTTAACTAAAGAATTTGCTAAAATTATTAAGGACTTGGTTGGAGGTACAAGTCAAATAGTTGAACTACCAGCAGTAGAGGATGATCCTCAACGACGGAAACCTGATATTTCAAGAGCTAAAAAATATTTAAATTGGGAACCAAAAATTTCACTTGCTGAAGGATTAAGAAAAACACTAGCTTATTTTGTTAAAGAATTACAGCGTTCAAAAACCTCACACATTGACAATAATTTGAAAAGGCCATTCAAAAATGATCATGATATAATTGATCAATTATAGTGACAATTTTATATGAAATTTGAATTTTTAAAGACTTTAATCATTACAATATTTATTTATTATATTTATAAAATACTTAAATTATTGAAATTAATTTTTTAAAAATGATGCAAGCAAGCAAAACCATATTATATCATTTAGACAGCGTTATTATTAATAATATTTGTAAATAATTTTTATAAAGTCTTTGTGAATTATTACTTTGTAAAAAATTACTGTAAATATTTGATGGTTTATTAATTATGATTTCTCACCTGAAAGTTCATAAAACTCTGTGATTAATTCAATGATTACTCAAGAAATATAGTTTTCAAGATATTTATAAAATATACTCTTCAAGCTACTACAAAAAATATGTACATATACAAAAGTGAAGAGTCATTATTAAGTGAAGTATAAATTAAAATTCTTATTATTTTATAACCATTTCTATTGATTTTGAACCCCTTTTTATTGATGCTTTCAAAAATATTATCAAAAAATTGTTCAATTCATGAATGAAGTCAAAAAACACATCATCAAAAAAAAACTTACACGATATATACTATTTTAACAAAATTTACACATTAATTAATCTATGTTTCAAGTATGTATCATTAATTATTTCAATTACACATTAAACCTAAATAATCATCCATCAAAGTTCCAATTGCAAACTGAAAAAAAAATACATAAATGTTAATTAAAAAAAGTATTTACAATTAATAGTAAACAAATAAATTCAACATACAATCCCAGTTGCATCAACTCTAGTACCAACAATTTTTAGCCTAATTTCATCGTCAGCTTGAATGACAACATCTTCTTCTTTTGATTTGTAGCATGGAGGATTCACATTAGGACAAAATTGCATATCTGGAGGTATAGACTGCAAACAAGGAAAATAAATAATGAATAAGTGAATTTTATAATGAATAATTAAACTTAAATTAGTTTGTATATTATGTCAATGTGTCAAAAATTGAGAAAAGCCTATTAGTAAATGTAAAGAGCAGGCAAATATAGGTATAAGGTACCAGCACTTTCCAAGCATAAAGTAAAAATTCTATTTAGTCTATTGACCTATATAGTCTAGTCCAAACATAGTTTGTAAGGATAATATGTTTTTAAAATAGCTTAAATATTTAGATTAAGTAAAACTTTTTAGTTTTTTTTTCAGATCAATTGAAAGTTTATTGTTACTTACATGATGGGATATGAAGCAGGACAACGGGCCTATTTCTGCAAACATTCCAACCTGAAAAATATATCAAACATGTTGTTACTTCATTGTCAGTAATAGCTTAAAACTTTCATATTAATAAAAAAGATATAAATACTTTGTTAACTTGTGTGACAATAGCATCTACAATTTCTCCTTTGAAAGGTCTGAAAACAATAGCTCTATACTTGACAGGATAAACTACAAAACCTTGCCCAGGTTGAATTATTCCTGCTCCAATATTATCAATCGTCGTAACGGCTATAACAAATCCATACTTTCCAGAGCAATTTCCTTCGACTTCTGAGTATAACTTTTGTTTCACAGTTTCAAGAAGCTGTGGTCCAAAGTATCTTGGATGCAGCAAGACTTCGTGATCCAAAGATATCTATTGAAAATTAATTTATATTTATTTCACTTTGCGTAAAAACAAGTTTTTAGACTATTTCACAATAAATCACAATAACTTACGTGAAAAAACATGTTTTATCACTTATGTTTTAGATAATTCGATGTAAACAGCCGCTTGAGGTTGTGTTCTGTTACGTCCGCAATCCTCAATTTCGATTGTACATACAACTTCGAGTTACGACTTACGAGTAGCCGGCACTGCCGACTGCCGAGTGCACTTGGCACTGGTAGGCAATAGCCTGGCTATGCCTGTGTGAGTGAAATTTTTCAAGTAAGGTACAAGTACCAATAACCAACCAGTTTGTATTGGAAAAAATTTGAAATGTGTTTCATTCACGATAATAATTTAATTTTTTCACAAGTATGTGACTTGAATGGTCACAAATAGTGTTAATAAATGTTGGAAAATTCAAAATCAATATCATAATTATTAAATTACGTCAACATCCGAATTACCAACTATAGACCATAAGAAAATGAAGTCGTACCAATTCCTCTTTTTTTTTATCTATACTTAGCCAAATAAATAACTATTTTCAGCTTACTTTTTTATGATTAGTTTTATAATGAACGAAGGCTCAAAATTTATTATTTTTTAAATTTAAATTATAAATATTAAGTATATTATTTAAATTAAAAAAATTTATTAATAAAAAAATATAACGTATTTAAACACAAATTGTAAATCGAAATTGAAACTTTTTTATGATGATAAAATATGTTAATACTGCACCTGATAGACAAAAAATTACTTTTTGCATAATACTAAATGTTGTGATGTTAATTAGGTAATTACTGCATGATTCTCAAGCGAGTTCTTCATCCATTTTTATCTATAAAGTCAAAATCTTTGAAAAAGTACCCTCATCCAGATCAGAATTTAGAAAGATTAGTACAATTTCTAATTTACATGTTAAAATATGAAAAATTTAATAATTAATTTGTGTTTTGGGCTTCCTTGATGGGTTCAAAATCGATATTTGTCAATTTTTGTGTTTGGCATATTTCAACTACATATTTGCAAACTAGAGCTTCGTAATGTTAGCAAGTCCAAAAATTAGAATTAGACGAGGTTTTACAAGGACATGTAGAATCGTTTGCGCATCAAGAATAAACGAAAAAAAATAATTATTCGTGCCACCAACAACTTTTTTTAGTATGCATGTAATACACAAATATTATTATATCATTTAGACAGCGTTATTATTAATAATATTTGTAAATAATTTTTATAAAGTCTTTGTGAATTATTACTTTGTAAAAAATTACTGTAAATATTTGATGGTTTATTAACTATGATTTCTCACCTGAAAGTTCATAAAACTCTGTGATTAATTCAATGATTACTCAAGAAATATAGTTTTCAAGATATTTATAAAATATACTCTTCAAGCTACTACAAAAAATATGTACATATACAAAAGTGAAGAGTCATTATTAAGTGAAGTATAAATTAAAATTCTTATTATTTTATAACCATTTCTATTGATTTTGAACCCCTTTTTATTGATGCTTTCAAAAATATTATCAAAAAATTGTTCAATTCATGAATGAAGTCAAAAAACACATCATCAAAAAAAAACTTACACGATATATACTATTTTAACAAAATTTACACATTAATTAATCTATGTTTCAAGTATGTATCATTAATTATTTCAATTACACATTAAACCTAAATAATCATCCATCAAAGTTCCAATTGCAAATTGAAAAAAAAATACATAAATGTTAATTAAAAAAAGTATTTACAATTAATAGTAAACAAATAAATTCAACATACAATCCCAGTTGCATCAACTCTAGTACCAACAATTTTTAGCCTAATTTCATCGTCAGCTTGAATGACAACATCTTCTTCTTTTGATTTGTAGCATGGAGGATTCACATTAGGACAAAATTGCATATCTGGAGGTATAGACTGCAAACAAAATCGATATTTGTCAATTTTTGTGTTTGGCATATTTCAACTACATATGAGTCATTTCACGTCAAGTCTCCTAGCGCGGCGCCCGCACGGCATTATTAATCGAAATTGCTCAATTTGTAACTCGCCAGAAAAGCATCTAAATGCACCCAGAAAAAATACGTGCCATATGATTTTGACAGGAAATTTCCTCAGCTTTCCGATGATGAGGTCAGATTTTCCAAAATTTTCCATTTTCCCTGGAAAAACTTGACATAAACTTTCAAACTCAAATATCTCAAAAACGGCATTTTTAAGATTTTTTTAAATAGTGCCAATCGAACGCTGAGGAAATTTCCTATCGATATGCAAGTTTTCAGAGAGTACTTTCGATAATTACTCAATGAAATACAGCGACGAACGTGTAAAAACGTGACATTTCGGCCCGTGCGGGGTACTGCGCGCGGGAACAGCTACAAGCTGGCCAGCCAAATCATACCGGAATTCGCCAAGTGAGTGAATATCGTTTACCGATTTTTTCATCGAAATTACATCCAACCTCATGTACTTTTTTCGTCCTTGAGCTGTGCTGTTCTTCCCGTCGCTCTTCCTCTTCGCGGTACTTATCTCCGCGTTCTTATGCTGCTTAGTCATCGGGGGCTTTTATATGTTCATGGCTCTCATGGACGCGTTTCCGATGTGGTTCTTCGTGGCCTATGGCATCGTGACTTCGTTTTACACGCTTTGGCTCATGAACGTCTTGCAGGCTTTATATTCAACCTGATCGTCGCCGGGGTCTACGGCACCTGGTACTGGACGACGGACAAGCGCCAAATGCCCAATTACACGCTCGCGGCTATTAGGCAAGCATCAAAATTAAGTATTTCAAACGAACGCCACGAGTTGAAATTAACGCCGGTCTTTCGCAGATATCACTTGGGATCGGTAGCGATCGCCTCGATTCTCTACCTGGTCTGTATGATCATCTGAGAATGCAATTATGGCGACAACAAATAGGTCGAAGCTATGGGCGAAGGCTTGGCGTTCGAGCAGATATGGCGCTCCACGGCGGGCCCCTCGTCGAGTCCGCCAAAACGGCTCGCAATCTCTGGCGCAGACATTACGCGTGAGTCAGCGAGGTCATCGGGGTCGGTGACACTTTTACTACGGCGTTCAGAAGATCCTGCAGCTAAATATATAATTATACACCTCTGCTCCTCTCCCCTTAGAAGATCAAGTGTACGATGCTCTGGGTCGGCAGATCCGCCGTGCTCACCCCTGCTTTGCTGGTGCACAGGGGTGCACTGTTGGCCCTGTCGTGGGACAAATTAGGCATCGAGTTTTATTTCCTTCTCCTTCCATTCAACTTATTTTTGGCATTCACTGTGATACGGTTGATAAATATTGCGTGCGACACCGTCTTGCTGTGCGTACTCGAGAATCACGAGGTCTATAGCAGAGCAGCTCGCAACGTGCCGGATAAGCTGAGGAAGCTCGTTCTCGAGGCGGAACAAAAATGATTGAATTTTATCGTCTGATAAATCTGCCAGTCCAAAATTTTTAATAAATTTTAAGATCATAACTTCACTGTCTGTACTGTTTATTTAAGGGCGTATGTCAACAACACGATACAAAAAAAATTCTCCTCCGGCGTTACGATAAACTGTGAATTTTTTCGATTGTGAATAAAAATTCGAAAAAATTGCGCGCACGTAGGTGTCACTATTTAATATGTACAGGAAGAACTTTTGAATGGATATTTAAAAACGACGATTGAAAAATAATAGAACAATAGTAAGCTCAAACATAACCTTTATGAGAAACAATTGAATCGAATAATAACATTCAAGTATCTGCCTTTCTACAAATTTTGATTCGTGTTCCAACCTAAATATCAGATTAGTCGAGCAACGAGGCAATCAAGTTCATTAATAGCTGTTGAATACTAAGTCGCTGTAATCGGACCCTGCTTTAACGTTGATATTAATTGTGAGTAAGAGTTTTTAAATGAGAGGTTTTTTAAACTTAATAAAACATTTTCAAACAGATGGGTAACGCCGTGGCGAAAACAACCACTGAAGTGCTCTACACTCTTGTTAATCCTTGGGTGATGATAGGAGGGCTCTTTACTGGGACCAGTGGAGCAAAAGAGGTGATAAAAGAAACGCTCGACTGTGTACAGCAAAATGTGACGACAACAGACATGATCGTATGTGTATGTGAGTGTGTTAAAGGGTCTGTTGCCTTCATTGGCAGCAACGTTACTGGTAAAGTAAATGTGATGAATGGGCCGATAACTATCGAAACCTTTGTATTTACTTAAAATAACCAAGTCTGGATAAATATTCAACAACTAA